GCCGGAAGGTCGCGGGTTCTATTCATGATGGGGTTATTGCATGTTTCATTTGACGTAATCGTTCCAACCGCACTATGGCCCTGGGGTCGACTCAGCCTATGAGAGAAATGAACACCAGGAATCTTCCTGGTGGTAAAGGGCGGCCGGCGCATAGGGCTGACAAACTCACCGTCATCTGTGAACCGATTGTCTAGAAAATGTGTGCGTCTCGACGTCTCACAACCGTAAGAACTTCCACGGCTTGATTTTTTTATTTATTAATTAAAGACTGGGTAACCCAGAACTTAATTACAATTAAAACTAGTTGGATAACTAAATTAGTTTTTTCTAAACCTAATTACTACGTAAATTAAAACTAAGCCACTTCCACTGAATTACTTAGTACTTTAACATTTAACTAGTTCGAACGGTTTCTTCCGTTTGAGTCGTCTAATGATTATTACTCTTCACGTTGAGAAGTCTTCATGGCCTGATAATTTTTTTTACCTCTATAGCAAACACACCATTAAAATACCGAAAAAAAGGCAGTGCTAAATCTCTTGCGAATGCTTTCGGGCGACTGCTTGTTTTCTGTACAGTTTCCTTAATTTAAGTCTAATTTTGTCATTTTTGATGCCTTTCGAAAGGTTTAAAGTGCACTCGTCCTCATGTAGCAGGGTCCAGACTCCGCTGCCGAGTTCGATTAAACTCTTGTATGGTGGACCTGCACTAAGTTTTGATAAGAATTTGTGTTCTGGACAGAAATTTTGGTTTAGTCTTTAGACTTTCCGCGATTATTTTTATTTACAGCCTAAATTGACTTCTACGTGTATCTTATGAACATGTCGACAGTTCTGATGAAACACTGTGTTCGGTGTTTGTATGGAATCCGGAATAGCTCAGTCGGTATAACTGTGGGCTGCTGGCATGACGGTCGTGGATCGATTTCCGGCAGAGGAATGAGATTTGTCTCCACAGCGTCCAGACCGGCTCTGGGGCCCATCCAGCCTCCTATGTAATTAGTGGCGGGGGCTTGTTCCTCGGGGATAAAGCGGCAGGGGCGCGAAGGTGACCACTGACCTCCATCAAGTGCCGAGTTCAAGAATGGTGGAGTTGTCCCTCCATTGTTCCACATGTCTTCATGGTACCTTAATTATTGAAGTACGGGAACAACTTCGCATTTTTGTGACAGTATTTATGTTACATGAGTATATTTACTTATGAACTTTGTTCACTTGAAGGGCCACTTAAATAAGAGAAGAATTGAAAATTTGCATATATATTTCGAATTATATATAGGTTTTGATCAAATCTCACAAAGGGCATTTGTGTTGAATGAATATTAGCTTGTGTGTGTTTCAATGGCTGTAATTCGGTTTAAAAGCCTACGTACATCGTTCGCCTATCTTTCTAAATACTAAGCTGACAGAAAGCATTGATTGAAAGTTACATATATCCGTAACGCACAGCCCCGTAAATGATATTCTCAGAGAATTCGAAAAAGTCACTGATATGAACACACTGTTAAGTGGGTGACACCGAAAGGTTTGTCTCGGAACACGCTGGTGTAGAAGTAACGGTTTAGGCATGTACTCGAGAGACGCTTTGTTCGAATTCCGATCAGAACACTGGTTATCCTGAGAGGGGTTTCGAGGTTTTCCAACCCCTCCCCCAAGACAACCACCTGCATAGACGTTGATCAGGCTAGGACCGCGTAAGTTCTTCAAGCTACATCCGACTATATATTCTCGATTCTTCCCGCCTCCAAAGAAAGCGTTGTCAGTACTGTAGTATCCTACCACATTGGACGTTCGAGTTACACGTACTGCATGCAAATACATTAGGCAGATGTTATGTGAGTGAGTCACACATGTTTAATGTTACGGAACTGCGTTTTCAGCTCATAAAATAAGATACAGCAGTAGTGTTTCGTACCGTTGTGTAGACCGAGCAAATTGGCTGAAGCGGTGACTTAAGTCCCCCAAGGAAAGTTCCAAGATAGTGCCTCAGACCAGGCCACAACCGACTCTATCCATATTTTTTCCCAATTTATTATTCACAAATTCCTACAATTGGATGTGTATCCTGCGATACTGATAACGTCATTAAGTAAACAAAATAATAGATAGTACCATTGCGCCTCTTGACAAAGTAGTACTCTTGACGTCAGTATGGATTTCCGGGTGGAATTTATACTGCTTTGCTGTGACACATTTATTGATCGGAAATAGTGATCCGCGAAATATGAGGTAGAAGAACTGTAAACGAATTCCCATTGGCACCCCACAACGACGTTACCGAGTACATGTTCTGTAAGTTCGACTGAAATGTTCCAATAGGCGTAAATTGGTGATCCAAGGAGATTAAACCGGCATAACGCCAAATTTTGTATGTACTTCTGTATTTCAGCGTCCTGTTGCAATTGTTTAACTTAACGTCCATGTACATATTTATCGTCCGTCGCTATTCCAACACTTGTTTATTCTCCACTTAAACTTAATCTTAGTTTAACATTTTACACTTTGACGCAACATGTTTCGGTCCCAAAGGCCATCTTCAGGTGTCTTGATATGTTCCAAATATTTTATTAAGTTACGTTAAAGCTGCTACACTGTGTTAGTCCGTGTTAAAATCACATGCTGTAGTTCTCTTTTCAAGGTAAAACCAGATAAAATTCATTAAGATTTCTATTAAACCCACGTTATTTTGGTGCATTCCATTCGTATGTACCTTTAACATGGCAGGTGATCAGTATGACATCAGACCTTGCCCCTTTACGGTGATCATCCACGGTTTTAATGTACACGTAGAAGTAGGGGAGGGAGATTTTAAACCAAACCTACGGAGCCGGAGACGAAAATATCCGTGCAGTGAAGTGCCTTGAATACAGCGGCTGGACAAAATGGTGGAAACACTGCAGACACTGTACACATTTCTTTATTAATATCATGTTTTACAACCTTTTGCTTTCAATACAGCCGCAGTCCTTTGAATGTACTCATACAGGTTTTGAACAGTCTCTAGCAAAATTCTATAGCATTCTTGAAAAACATGAAGTTGCTTTAGGAACGTCGGAAAGTGGGAATGAACAGACTGACCAAAATGGTTCAGTGATGTTCAGATGTGGTGATTGTGCTCACCAGGTGAGCTTGCGAAGTTCACCTTCATGCTCTTCAAACCATGACTGAACAGTTCCAGCATGGTTCGGGCGTAACGTCTGAATCATGGGATGCACGTGACTGTTCACCCTGTCCACGTACTCCCTTGCAGTAATTCGACCATGAAGGGTAATAATGGGACCAACAGAATACCCCTACAGGCTCTCCACACCATGACAGAACCTCCCTGTGTTTCACTGTTGGAACCAGGCATTCTGGATTGTAGTCTTCCTTGGGTGTTCTTCGAACGTAAACTCTACCTGATGTAGGGAACAGCGTGAAGGGCGACTTATCTGGCTATATCACGCGCGCGTTTCGAGTTGTCTGATGTCCAGGTTTTATGGTGGTGACACCATCGTTTACATATCTGAGCATTACTTTCAGTAATCTGGTTTATCAGTTGCAGCCCTACCGTGGATGTTGGTTTGTGAATCTCCGTTGGACAGTTTTTTGTGGAAACATGGTGTTAAAGACGAATATTCAGTTCTGCTGCAGTAGTTCTATGATTTTTCTAAACAATCCTTCACAGTGTACGACGATCTTTTTCTGTCAGTGTTGATTTTCGCCCACTGTTCCTCTTCGCTGATGATGTCTTTGCCATGATTTGTGTATGCCGATATAATCTTAGAAACTGTCGCTCTCGATACGCCTACTAATGTGGCAGTTTTTTTTTATCACAGATCACCCATCTAAACGTGCACCATCGATCTGCCGGCCCTCTTGAAAATCGTCAAGTCTCCCATTTTCCGATTCTTTCACAGAGACTGTCACTCAGCACAGTCATTAATGAACTTACATGAGCACTACTGAGTGTAAACATACTGAAGAAAAACATTCAATGTTGCCAGCTGAAGTTCTTTCAGTGTAGACAACATAAATTCTATTCTCCAATTTCTTAGTATTTCCATTATTTTGTTCACCTACTGTATGTAATTAACACTTCCCATTGAGGATGGACAGGGTCAACTTCTCAAACTATATATGGCGTTGTCTTAAGTGGGGGAGGGGGTTCTAGTGTAGCATAACAGGGTCATTTTAACATTGTCATTTTCGATAGTCCTGAGAGTGAAGCGGCTATATGCTGGATAGTCGTGATACAAGTCCAGCTAGGGATTAGTGTCCAAAATCAAATATGTCTGGAACATGAGACTGGTCATTCACTTCCATGAACCGGGACGTTCTAAAACCCTTCGGACTTTTCCTCCATGCAAGATGCCTTTCTTTGTAACTTTATTTATGCGGAAAAAAAACTTTTATCTTCAGTTCTCATAACGAAGCGCATAATTAAACCGAAGACAAGCAGCGTTATTTTTAATTTGAATTGATGTTATTAAAATGCACTTAATTACTAGAGATACAAGTATTTTTGTCCTAGGCGGTTACTATAAGTTTTGTGAAGGACAAATTTATATAGGTTCAGGTTTTTCCATTTTCCAGGAAAGCGTCATTTCACCAATGTTCCATACTCATTTGTCATGATCCCTGAGGTGTTTGAAGGGATTGGTCCTGGATTTGGTTTGTGCCTTTTAACTACCAAAGAAACATCCCATGAAGGTGTGTGGTGGCATTGAAACAAAATTTTGTGCATTGTATACCACTGCTCCTTTTAGAAGTGAGCTGACAGCTCCAGGCTCAGAAACTTTACCCCCAGGGAAAGATCTCCTGGTACCCCTTAGAAAGGAGAAGTAGTGTACTTAATTTGTTGTAACTCCACCTTATGGATGGAGATTCATGTCAAGAATTACTTTATGCTTCCTGTCTTAAAGAACGAGCTAATTATATGGAACATGTAATTTGTTTCACAAGTGACCAAGTTGCATTCTGACTCAATGCTTGTAAAATTATGTGGGGGTGATCTTCCAGATGATACAAATGGTGATTACTATGGGGACCCTGGTGGCACTGCCATGGCTCTGAGGCCTCCACATAAGCTACCGCAGCCACACCGTCGTTGGCCAAGAGCACTGAATCCGTTCAGATCTCCAAGGGAGCTTAGCAAGAGCAGAGAAGAGAAGGAAGCTGTTGATCTATGTGTACCGTCCATTACTGTGTCTTCCCCAGAACTTGTAAGTTTTTCATCCTTGAAATTACACTGAGTATTAGATCATTGCATACATAATAAATGGAAAAATAAGGAAAATGTCACTGTAAAAGCAGTTATTTTAGAATGTTATCCTGCTTTGAGATTCTAAAAAAAATTACAAAAATATCTGTCACAGCTCTCATCCTAGGATGATTTCATACTGTAGGAAACTTCCTTATGCCTGATAATTGTACATCATTGTGAATGCATGCAGAACATTGTCATAATCATTACCACACATCTGCATCAAGTACTGAGATCTAGAATGCCTAGAGTTTAACCTAATACCCCTTGTATGCCCTCATGATGTACTTGGCGTAGAGATAACTTTATTCTTTCCTTTAGCTTCATGCTGTAAAACTAACCTGAATATTCTTTGAATCACTGCATTACATAATGCAACAGACAAACAGATATATGAGTTCACTGTGTTCTGTTGTGCTACACATGACCCAGAAAGATGATCTGCAGGCTTTTTAGGCAGAGTATTTCATTGGCTGAAATTATGTCTTTATAAACCATGTGTCTCAATGGGAATATTATCATATTGTGACATGTATGAGTGTGATATAGATGGGGTTTGGATTGGTTATTGGATTTACTGAACACTTGTAGATCATAACGTCAGGTAAATGTAGTGCTATCGCTAATTCACACTTTAGTTCACTACAGCACGTACTAAGTCATCTCAGTCTGCTCTGTCTTCACCAGCCGTTGTCTGGTAATGGCTTCCAATGCTGTAGATCCCTCTGCTTCCATGTTAATGGCTTCATGTGCTTGCTGGATGTTACTGTGGCTCCTGAGCTGAACTAACTGGCTTGCTACTGCCAAACTCTCAATTCACGAACCAATTCACTTCACTACACTGCCTACCTACCTACCTACATCAAAGTCAAAGCCAGAATTACTCTACAACTGGCAGTTTACCGTCAATCAGTTCATCTTAGTATCAAGCCCCTTGAGACCCTCGACCACAGATTTTTTCAGCTGAACCCTTATGGTAATGGTCCTTATGTAACATCCTCTCTGAAGAGGTGGGTGGGTTTGCCTGTTATAAATATGATTGTCAAGTGTACATAGCACGCATACAGCATTGAAAATTTTCCTTTTGTATTATGCACAAGTCTTCTGTCAGTACAGGCTTTGTAAAGCAGATCATGTCTATCTTACATATCTTATGCTACAACAGCAGCTTAGTTACTTGAACGGTCATAAGCTTGATCACCGCCAAGTTTAAGTCTCTTATACTTTTACTTACCTCAACTTGTTTGTTTGAGTGATATGGCCTTGGAGCAGATCCATAGAAAACACTGCTTCCAACAGCCCTTCTGTTGTGTGTGGGCTTCTGCCTAGCAACTGTTCCAGCACCGTTGTGTGTTTGTGAAGCTGTTGCCTAGCAATGACCGTTATCTCGTGTGTTTTGCAGCCATTGCCTAGCAGTGAGTCTATATATGGCTAGTACCTATATTTTTTGTTTTGATACAGAAAGCTTTAGTATTTTTGAGGGTTGAGCCATGCCATGAGACCCAACATGAAAAGAAATGCTTCTTTCAAACCCCTAGACCAGAGTACTTATAGGAACTGCACATTATGTATTTCATCAGTCTTTTTACCTTTCCTGAGTAAATATTTTAAACAAATATGTTTCTTTTGTGGGAGAATGAGTTGCAGGTTATGTGTATCATGTGGAATATTACTGATTGTACACCTTGAGTAATGATGAAATAGCCTTGTACTAGTACATGCTCACTTGCATGATATAATAGTCCAGTGAAATGCTGCTTTGGTAGTGAATGTTACTTTGATGCAGCTAAGGGATGGAGCACGAGATCAGGGGAACCCAACTCACCCTGGTTCCCCTTTGCGACATGCTGGAACAATGGTCAACATGAGCCCCACCAAAGTTTTGCAGCAGCAAGTTAGATGGCTGAACTCGCAAAGCATGCAGGTACACTGTTAACAGCCAGTTCTAGAACACTGGCATTTGACAGGACATGTTCTCCTTATGAATCATATAATTAATGTAGTTTCCCTTTTTTTGAATTTCCGGTGTACCCAAATAATTACTTGCATGTACCAATCTTGCTAATTTTTTTTTGTTAGTTGTGTACTGCTGTGAAAAAAATTAATTTGTCTTGAGGTTGGTATATTGATATCACCCCTGGCCTCCAGTTTCCATTTAATACATACAGTCATTGCATGTGGTGATTGAATTGAAGGAAGCTGTACTGGACAAGGGTTTTCTTAGCTGCTTCTTGCTTCTTCTATTATCCATTCTACCATTTACTTACTGGAGATGAAAATCACTTCTGTAACTTTGAATTAAATGTCCATAATTTCAATTTGGGCACTTTTCTATTAATTATTGTATTAGAGTCATCTAAATAAGGGGTCTCCAAACTTTGAAACGCGGGCCACGTTAGGTAATTCAGCACTTTCAAAGGGGCAGATAAAATGAGAAATTAATAACTCTAGGTATATGAGTTTTATTGAAAGCACAGAATTTCATAAACTAAATACAAAGTATGTGAGAATAAATTATTGTATATTAATGACAACAGACAGTAGCAGAAAATGCTCATATTTTCATCACAAATTGTAATAAAACAATTAATGTGACTGATGGAACTATTTTTTGCATTCTTAAAATCTGAATAAATTGAGGTTCAAATTTTGAAAAAGGTGATCACAAGTAGTGACTTTAAATGTTCATCAGATAAATTTGCCCTGTATTTCGACTTGATGTACTTCATCTGGGAAAAAGTTTGTTCACGCAGATATGTCATCCCAAAACTGGAGATAAATTTACAAGCAAATTTCTTTAAGTTTGGAAATTGCTCAGAGTTCAGAAATTTATAAAATTCGATCAAATTTCCTTCCTTGTATTTGTCTTTAATATGATAATTTTCCTGAAGTTCAATAATTTCCATTTGAATTTGACTTTGGACATCTGCAGCATCACAGTCAAACGGATTTTGAAACAATCTAATTTCCTGAGCACTGGCATCCAAATCAGCAAATCACTTCTGAAATCGTTCTTTCAAATCTGAAATGACTAAATTTGCAAACGAGGAAGGAAAATCTGCTCGCGCTACCTACATTGCCACGAAGTGACACTGTTGATCAAGACCGAACAAGTACGAAGAAATACTGCACAGTGTATGGTCCAGAATTAGTAAAATTGTGAATAATATTAATATTAACATAATATGGAATATCAATATATTTTAAACACAATCTTAATTAATGAATTTGAAATCTATGAACAAGTATTTTCTTTACCATTACTCATTGGAAAATTAGTTCAGTTGGCGCATTTCTGCACAATTCTTTCACGGGCTGTAGTTTGGAGACACTTGATCTAAATAATAAATATTTGGGTGTACAAAAGTGATAGAATGTTGTACACAATACTAAGAGGCCACTGGCGCAATATCATTGTTCTGAATGTTCATTCCCCAACAGAGGACAAAACTGGTGATATGAATGACAAGGCCTATGAAGAACTAGAATGTGTATTTGATGAATTCCCAAATNTTCCCCAACAGAGGACAAAACTGGTGATATGAATGACAAGGCCTATGAAGAACTAGAATGTGTATTTGATGAATTCCCAAATTACCATATGAAAATTTTGTTAGATTTCAATGCCAAAGTAAGTAGGGGGACATTTTGAAACCAGCAACTGGAAATGAGAGTTTACATGAAACAGGTAATGATATAGGGGTTAGAGTAGTAAACTTTGCCACATAAAAAAAAAAAAACTGATTGTCAGAAGTACAGTATTCTTAAATTGTAATGTACACCATTCATATCGAGTTTGGGGTACCCATGAAGCTAGTTAGACTGATTAAAATGTGTCTAAATGAAACGTATAGTAAATCCCATATAGGTAAACATTTGTCTGATAATTTTCATAACCAGAATGGTCTAAATAAGGATATGCTTTATCATCCTCACTTTTCACTACTTTTCAACTTTGCTTCAGAAAATGCCATTAGGAAGGTCCAGGAAAACCAGGTGGGACTAAAATTAAATGGGAACACATCAACTGCTGGTCTATGCTGATTATATGAATCTACTGGGAGATAACATAGATACCATACAGAAAAAAAAACCTTTAATTGACACTAGTAAGGAGGTTGGTCTAGAAATGAACACAGAGAACACTAAGTACATGTTGCCCTCTCATCACCAGAGTGCAGGGCAAAATCATGACATTAAGACAGCTAACAGATGTTTTGAAAATGTCACAGTTCAAATATTTAGGAATGACAGTAACAAATCAAAACTTAATCCAAGGGAAAATAAAGAGATTGAATTCGGGTAATGCTTGCTACCATTCAGTCCAGAGTCTCTTTTTCCCTTTGTCTGCTGTCTAAAGACAAAAATTAGAATATACAGAACTATAATTTTGCCTGTGATTCTTTGTTGATGTGAAACTTGGTCTCTAGCATTAAGGGAAGAACAGGTTGCTGAGGAGAATACTTGGACTGAAGAGAGGATGAAGTGATAGGAGGCTGGATAAAACTGCATAATGAGGAGCTTCATAACTTGTACTCTTCACCAAGTATAATTAGAATAATCAAATGAAGGAGAATGAAATGGGCAGGGCATGTAGCACAAATAGGGGAGAATAAGAATGCATATAGGATATTGGTGGGAAATCTAGAAGGAAAAGGACATCCAGGAATACATAGAAATAGATGGAAGGATAATATTAAAATGGATCTCAGAGAAATATGATGGGGTGGTATGGTCTGGATAGATCTGGCTCAGGATACGGACCATTGGAGGGCTTTTGTGAACACAATAATGAACCTTTGGGTTCCATAAAATGCTGGTAAGTTCTTGAGTAGCTGCACAATTGTGGCTTCTCAAGAAGGACTAATCTCCATGAAGTTAGTTAGTACAAAGCAGAAACACCAATCAATGAAGTCATCAATTTTGAGATACTAAATTTATTCACATACTCCATAAGCAAAAGGTATTGAATTCTCATTCAGTTTTTCCAGCAAACCTGTGTTACTGTGAGTTGTGTTTGCTTACTTCTGAGTTATAGCTTTAATACTGCAGCTTTGCTTTGCAGATGCAGGAGACACATATATGTAACATTCCATAACTCAAATATAAACAGGAATGACTGTGATATAATAAATTATTTAGAGAAAATATTAAATAACATAATAAAATATTTGTTACAGACTGTAGGTGATAATCACACCAACAGAATTGGAAACCCATGCCCCTTCAAAACGAATCCAAACACAATGATAATTGGATAAAGAACAACAGTCCCCAAGGAAAAATACTAAAGTTTTAATTGCTTTTAATGATTTTTGGTGATTTTGAATATAGTACATTTTATTTTAAGTGGGAGATACCACATTTACATGTGATACATGAAGTTGTACACATTATGCAGTGAAACAGTTTTAGCCAATAGTGACACCTGATGATGGCCTTATGGCCAAAACATGTAGTGGAAAGAGAGGGAGATAATAAACGGGTTGCATCGTGGGTGGAAGTAAATAGCATGTGAATGATGAACCTTCGCTTCAGTCCAAGTTCCTAACTTTCGTTAATTCTGGATGTATTCACAAGACATTGTCAAAAAATCTGAAGTCCCTACCTTTTTTACACCAAACTTCTGGCACCTTTCTTTCTATATAAGGAAAGCACTGTGTGTAAGTGTGTGTATGTATTTATGTTTTATATTTCATTTTTTATTGAGGAGAAATCTTCTTTTTCTTACATAGGACATCAACACTGCCCTGACATGTAGTCATAAAAAAGATGGTAGTAATGCCAACATGTCTGTAAAAGGAATAGATACAGCAGAAATTGCTCGTACATATGGCCTAGATACAAGCTTATACATCCCTGTTGACACTGACAGTGGTCTAATGTCGAGATCGAATGAAGCCCTCAATGCCTGGAGATCATCTGACACAAGAGGGAAGGCTGACTGGCTACAGGAAGCATCATGTGGAACGATCCACTTCACTGCTGCATATTTCCAGAAGAAAAAGTGGGTCTTCTTTAACTTTCAGCATATTACCTTCATGTTGTGAGCTTTGTGAACCTTGTGGAAGTAGTTATAATTCCCAATGTGGCTTAGAGCTTTTAGAATTTAAAACACTCCCCTGTGTTTAACTGGCTTATGATTGGATCCAGTGGGAGACATTTCTCAATATAGTGATGAACTTTAGGTTCCATGAAACAGGCAGTTTTTTAAATAATTGAATAACTATCCAAGGAAGATTATATAATGGAGTTAGTTTGATGTCTTTGTGGTGATCATAAGAATAATTAGTCTAGAGCAACACATGGGTTGCATTAGTAACTTAGACGTGTTCTCTTCATAGATGTTATTTGTTGCAGGTTGCTTATACATGTTAACAAAGTTGAACATCTTCCTCCAAAAGGAGAACATCATACATACAGTGTTGTTGTCAAACTGATAATTTTGCCATTAGATAAGCAACTACATGTGAGTAAAATATATAAAAATAATTTGAATCCTGAAATTGAAGAGGACTTTGAATTCATTATTAAGCATCCACTTGGTAAAGTTCTAAGACTTTCAGTGTATGATGCGGATTATCAAGGAAAACATGAGGCAGTTGGTCATGCACTCTTCTACTTGGAAGATGTGATGGCAGGGCGACCCAGGAAGTATGCAATGAGACTATATAAACAATCACAGGTCAGTAAGTAGTAGTCACTTAGTAGTAATCTGAAGAATATTCACAGTGAAATGTCTACCAACTGTGTATCACAATGGACATGCTATCACAAAATTTTCATTCCTTCCATCTTTAACATTATGTCTGGACACTGCCACCTAAAAGGACACCTTTTAAAAGTGGGACTGACAGGCGACCCAACCTGTGAAAGGTGCCTACAAGAAGATGAATCAGCCACACACATCCTATGTGATTGTGAGGCTATAGCTTACCTAAGATATCAACATCTGGGTCAGTTCTTCATGGAACCAAGTGACTCTTATGACGCCCCCATAAATGAAGTCCTACATTTCATTCAAAGTATAGGATTAATAAAGGGTTAATCCAAAGGGGAAGCACAATAATCATTGAAGTTCGCAGTGCGAGGGCCAGTTTTTATGGCTCACCCCTCATACTCATAACATTACCTCTCATTATAACATTCTCTAAGTTGTATATATATATATATGTTACAAAGTATGCTTATGTCATGGCTAAGGCTATTCAATATCCAAGTGTTTTTATCTTTAATGTTTGATATTTACTTCTCACTTATGAGAAAACTGTATCCTTCACAGTAGTTAAATGTAGTAAGTTGAAGATGAGCATAATGAACACTATTATGACATTTTCCTTAAGCACACATCATTTTGTTTCATATATGTGAATTCAATAAAATAAATACTTGCCTCCTGTTTTTAAACATATCAATTCCATTATATAGGCTTTGTATTCAGTAAGCCAGGAGATGTGATTTTCTGTAATATTTATCTGCTTATGTTGTGAAAGGCTTCTCTGTGTACTTCTCAGTATTTTTCAGTAACATTTTTAAAATGGATGCATCTTCATTATATTACATCTCTTGTACTAAAGCCATACAATTCTTCACACAAGCTTTAACAGGTCTGCCTTCAGAAATAGTATATTTGGTGGGTAATACAACAAGCAAATATTTGAAATTTAAAATGCCTATGTTGCTTAGGTGCATATTTTAGAAGCTCAAGATTTATGTTTAATAATTGATTATGCTTTAAGTCACCTCTCTTTCCTGCTGAATCTTGAATTTCTAGGTGCCTGCAAATATACTATATAAATTCCAAATCCATATTCCTTTTTTTTTTTCCTTCAGTGTTATATTATTCTCCTATCAGTGTAACCCAACCCAGTTCTGAGAATTTTCATATTAGAATGTATATATGTACTGTTTTTCTCACATATGCTAAATGTTTGGCATATCTAAATGTCTTTAAACTACTTGTAAAAATCCAAACAGTAGTAGACAGAAAGTAGAACTCATGTATTGTCATATATTTTCTTCATTCTGTTCATTCCTCTAGTCATATATTTGTCTTATCAGATTAGTCTGAATCAGAAATGTAATATTGTATCTGGATAGGCAAGGTCATTGTGACACAATAGTCAGGATACTGATGAACCTTACAGTTTGTGAGTGAAGTTTCTCTGAGTGAGGTCATCATCATCCCTACAATGGTGCAGGGCTGATTTTTTAAGATCCATTTATTTTATGACACCCCTAAAGGTGTAATTTATTTTGTTGATATTTTAAAATTTTCACAGTCAGTCTGACATTGGACTAAAATATAATTTTCCAAATACCAGACAATTCTTTAAACAACATGAAAGGGTTAAAATATCCAGTACAAACAAAACTATAGTATCCTTAGGAAAGGTGTTTACATTAAGTTCGGCATGAGGATGGATAGAAGAAAATTTCACTGTAAGTAGTGACAGTATTTCTCAGGAGTTTGACATTTGTGATATGAATTTTTACAGCCAGATGTAGATCCAGGAAACATACGAGTCAGCTTGAGTTATAAAAGAGAGACGATGATTTTGAACGTACTGGTAATGGAGGCTTGCAATCTGTTGCTACCTATGAGCGCTGCCAAGAATAAGAGACCCGCAGGTAAATGTTATTTACGTTTTTCAGATCTAAAGCAATAAACTGAATTAGGATTTGAATTAGAAGCTTGCCACTTCTTGTGCTTAGTGTGTGAAAACATAATTCTGCTATAATTGCACACTTCCAAACCTATATACAGTAAAATGAATCAAAGTAGACTCTGTGTTATTGCATTTGCCTAAAAAGACAGACTGAGTCTCTCTATTGTGGGTGTTCTTAAGCATCTTGTCTCATTAGAGAAAAGGAAGAGAGTTCTGCATACGAAAGTGAAACAGGTCATGTTTTTACATACACTTCTATGGAAGAAGAATCATTATAACAGCTTTAAAAATATATATTTATTTTCATGCTCACATAAAAAATAATGGGGTACCAGATTAAAAAATACAGGGTCTACCAAAAAAACAGGGGTTTCAGACACAAGCAGTTTTGGAATGCAAACATGACAATGTTGGTACTTGAAGGGTAATCAGATGATTTCACTGTAATTAACAAACAGCAGCTTTGATTATGTGTTTTGCACAATGTGAACTTCCCAGAGAATATTCAGAATCTAAATGGGATAGTTCTGACTTGAATGTGTGGTGCATGTTGACACTTGTAAGACCCATCAGCCCATTTTCTTTGATGACATCATTACAAGCAATTCATTCCTAGACATGCTGCAAAATTATGCTCTTCCACAGCTCAGCAGCACTCACTGCCTTATTCTTTAACTGGACAGTGCACCTGTTCACTGTGATCTCATTATCTGTAACTGCTTGAAGATGAATTTCCTAGGTCAGATAGGAAGAGGACGACAAATTTATCTGACCCCTTTGTTCTAATGATCTTATTAATTTGGATTTTTTCCTTTGGGGCTAAGTAAAGACCAGGTGTACAGCAAAAGAGTGAATATGCTGGGTGAGCTGGAAGTATGGATCATTGCAGCAACTGCAGATGTTGCAAGTATATACATTATTAGGCAGTTACACAAAGTAATGGTTCATGGTCATTTGTTCATGGGAATGATCACAGATTATCATGATTTCAATAATCCTGGTTTTTTAAAAAAAGGAGGGGGATTATTTTTATAAACTTTTATGTTAATTTTCACATTTTTATTTCAGACAAATACAACACTTATGTCAAAGTTGTGTACATCTCATGTGGTGAGAAGATGAAATCAAGGAAGAGTGCTATAGTTTACAACAATAGAAATCCTACTTATAATGAGATATTTACTTTCAAATTGTCATCGAATTTCCTGCATGAATCTTCAATCATAGTGAGTGTCATGTTGAAAGGAAAGCTGAAGAAAGATATGCCAATAGGCCGCCTTGTGCTTGGTCCATTCCAGTACACAGAAGGGCGGGAAAAAACTCCCTGGGGTAGAGCTCTTCTCTCTCAGGAGGAAGTCACACATTGGTTTAGAATGTACCTGTGATTAAAAAAAAACTGAATATGTGAATCTGAAATATATGTAAACCAGAATATTTATGTAATTTTATATACTGTAACTGTATCATCATAATTTTATGGTTATTTATATTTAGATGTTTATGTAAATAAAAGCTCTGTCAAAGATATGGATTCGTACGTTTTTACTGCTAAGTCTAATTGTGTTTGTATATCAGTAAACAATATAAACAAGAAATGACTTACATCAGATTTGAGTTGCTGCATTTTCAGTTTGAATGTTAGGATGTGATCCTTGGTGTTCTATATTTGTATCCATTTCTGTACTCGCCCCCCCCCCCCAGTTTCCTGTCCAACATGTTTTGATTCCACTTTCAGTTCTCTTTAATTATAAATAATCTGTCAGTCTTTCTGACCTATCTATCTAGTTAGTTTCCTTATAACTGACTTTGTATGTATGTTACTTTTCAGGTATTTTTAATATCTTTATCTTTCAGTTACCTGTTCCATTGGAAACATACTCTGCTACATTAACCTCTTGTGTAATGAGTGTCTGTCCAATTAATTTCAACTTTCTATTCCCCCATACGCCTTCATGGCGTAGTGCTTAATTAGTTAAGCACAGGGACACTTACTTTTTTTCTTATTCAACTTTTTATGAGATTATAATTCATTTCCAATATTTTTTTCATTCTTTCTCAGGCTGTGATACTCATATTTGTTCCTTGTGTATCCCTTTAAAAATATATGGATTTCAAGATGCATTTTGTCACTTTCTTGATGTTTCATTTCTGTACAGGCAGACTTGATATATTTGTATTAAAGATCCACAGCATTATTTTAAGAGCAGTAGTTGTGACCTCCACATTCATCTCAAATCCCTCTCCAGCCTTACATTTTGATGTCTTCCCCATTCATTATTCTCCCATTTGACAGTATAACCTATGCAGATGAGAAAGCAGTGTTAAATAAAGACAGAATTAGTATATTTTGGAATTTAAAACTACTTTTTGTTATACATTTTAAGATTTTGGCCTGTTTTAAGTACTTACCATATAATTATGAGGAGTTCATGTTATTTCATCATATCAAATACACATATACAGTTCTGTACCATTTGTAATACTACATATAAAAGATTTGGCATACATAATGTATATGCTTTAGTGTCCTTCGAGATTCAAGGCAGCTAATATAGCTAACTGGAGAACAGTAAAATATAACTGGAATGAATCTGGAACCTGATATTAAAGTGAAATGTTCCTGTTATTATTTCCAAAATACAAAAATGGCACATTTCCTAGACAGTAAACACCTTGGACCAGCAAGGATTGGAAGACCCCTTAAGTTCTATTCTATTTTATTATACCTGGAGATTTATTTTCCCTAAATGGTAAAATATTCTCAGGACAATCCCAGAGCATCACTGTGCCACATAATTCCAGAAGTAGGAATACTGAGTTTGATTGTGCTGAGATAGGTTTGCACTCGCCTTATACCACTAATTATAGGACAGAGGTTATCCTTGAAGTTCAAGCATTGATGGATCTGTTAAATGTTGTTATACCAATAATTTCAACTGAACATAGTGGCCAAATGGGTATCATTCTGCTGTGTGTTTGAGAGACATTGGGTTAACATCTCGGCCCAATGACCAGCTGTCCTCACTAAGGGTTTTTTGCGATTTTTCTTTCTTATTCATATTCACTAATCACATTACTGACTGTTACATAGTTTTTGTTACTGACAACATGAGGCCGCGCCATAGCGGAAGCGGTTAGTCACTAGCTTCCCACCATGGCGGCCCAGGTGCGATCAAGTGGGATTTGTGGTTTACAAGGTGGCGCTGGAGCAGGTTTTCTCTGAGTACTTCAGTTTCCCCTGCCAATCTTCATTCCACTAATTGCTCCACAATCACCCTCACCTATCATCTGGGGCTGGTACAGTAAGCCAGAAGTGGCCGCAGTACAAGGGACTTAGTCCCACCCCACTAGCAATAAAAAAAATACTGACAACATAATTAAATAAATAAATAAAACACTTCATTCCTTGATGATGGTAACAGTCTCAGAAACTTCTGGTCTGAAGTGTTGTGGCTGATTACCTGAAAAAACATTACCACTCTTATTGCTGTAAAAGCTCAATTTTTATATCCTTACACAAGGGCTATTAGGAAAATAACATCCGTTTATTTTAGGCAACTAATATCGATGTGGGAGAGCACTCACGAATGCAAGGTAGTGTCACATGACTCACTGTTCCTGTAAACCATCAAATAACTAGTTACCTAGTGTTTGTTCTTGTCTCTACAGAGTGAATGATGTGTCCTGTGATTAATGTTCCCACCAGCTGTGAACTTTGTACTGTTATCTGCTTTCTTCATGCTAAAAACATAAGTGCTGTGGAAATCCAATGTGAATTATGCACAGTTTAAGACCAAAATGTAATGAGTAAAGGAACTTTAAGACAATGGTGTAGAATGTTCACAATGAAGAGTGAAGTGGTCAACCATCTGTAGTGAGTGATGGTCTTGTTCAAAGTGCTGACCAAAAAAGTCGTGAAAGAGAGTGCTTCACAGTTTCAGAATTTTCATGTGCATTTCCACAGATTTCATGTACTCTTCTCTACAAGATTATGACAGGCTAGGCTATGACAAGTTTTGCATAAGATGGGTTCCAAAAATTCTCACTGGTTTGCAGAAAACATAGAGAATGGCTTTGGCTTTCACTTCCACTTGTTTAGAGTTATACCACAAAGATGATGAATTTCTCAGTCATTACATATGAGCAACAGGTGATGAAACTTCGGTGTCATTTGTGAATGCTGAAACAAAAGAGCAGTTAAAGCAGTGGATACCCACACATTCACCAAACAAGTAAAAAAAAAAAAGTTTATACAAACGTCTGCCAGAATGCTGATGGCAAATGTTTCCTGGGACAGGAAAGGAGTGTTGATGGTGGAATTCATCCAACAAAGGACCACAATGTCAAAAAGTGTATTGTGAAACACTAAAAAAACTGCATAGAGCCATTGAGAACAAAAGGCATGGAATGTTAACATCCACTGTAGTGCTCCTCCATGACAATGCATGTCTGCATACTGCTGCTTGCACTTGAGCACTGCTGGAACATTTCAACTGGGAGTTGTTTGACCACCTTCCTTACAGCCCTGATCTTACTCTGAGCGACTACCACCTGTTTACCTACCTGAAGAACTGGTTGAGATCACAGTGCTTCAACAATAATGAGCTGATTGTAGGTATCAAAACATTGCTGATCTCACAGGTGGCAGAATCCTTTGACACAGGCCTACAAAAACTTGTTCCCCAAAATGAGAGGTGCCTTAATTTCGGCAGTGACTATGTTGAGAAGTAGCTTAAGTATGTATGCATTTTTTATATATAACAACTTTTTTCTCATTACTTGTTTTGTTAACATCTCACCAGAGATTACTTTCCAAATGGCCCTTGTTTATACAGCAATACAGCGCTTACAAATGAAGGATGATCAACATGATATACTGTGGGGCAAACATGAGAGCAGTGACTTTAGTACCAAACATCACAGTTGAGTACATAACACTCCTGCTTTGTATCTGGGTGTTCCAGGTTCAAAGCTCAGCTTGTAGACCAGCTATCCTGTATGTGGTTTCCTTGACCCCTTAAGCCAAATTCCAAGTTAGTACCTCAGATTACTACTACTCCCACATTCTTCCAAGTTCATTATTCATTCCTAACACTCCTGACAGTTTCATTATATAAACCATAATAAATAAATAAAAATCTTAATGTCATACTTAAAATTTCCAGACTTCTAATGTCTTTCTTGTTATCTTTTAAGCAGCAAAGTTCATAGATTAAGTCCCATAATGGGTACTGGGTGGTGAAGATCTCGGTAGTACTGAGAATAATCAGACTTGTCGATGAAAATGCGATTCCTTAAGCATCCTAGACTTCTCTCAGTGATGTAGTGACAGTCTTTGACAAGTAGTGAATGCAAGTTGCGACAGTATTCCCCAACCATCCTGAAAAGTAAACAATTTTCAATTTAGTAGTGCTAAGTTTATAAGCATATTACATTGTTCCACTTTGTCTTCATAGTGACAAGTAAGATCTAACTTTACCTCACTCCATCATCCTTGATCCGCCAGCATCCACTTATATTAAGATATTCCAGACATTGAGAGTAGTGTGCAATTGCAAACATTGTAATATCAGTGACTGAATAAATATTTGAGATACACAGGACACGGAGCCTAACAAAAAGAGAAAATATTAGTCACAAAAATCAATAAAATAGTGCACTGAAGGTGTAGAGAAGTATGAAGCAATTAAGGGATGAAATTTCAACTTGTAATAACATACATATTAGTTACTGAGGTGTAATGGCCGTGCTATAGCTCAAGCGGTTAGTAGCTGGCTTCCCACCATGGCAGCCTGGGTTCGATCCCAGGTCTGGTCAAGTGGGATTTGTGGTGAACAAAGTGGCACTGGGGCAGGTTTCCTCCCAGTACTTCGGTTTCCCCTGCCAATCATGAAATAGGCTGGAATTCACAATAACTATGCTGGTATCATCTACAAAAAGAACCAGTTTAGGTATACTAATTATAATGTTAAGGTAAGGTAAAGCTATCCCTGTAACAGGCTGTGAAGGCTCATAGGGTTGTGAGATGTTGAGGCTCCCATATTTTCTCTAGACAATTAGCTCACAGATAGTGGTAAGGTTGTCAGCCTTATGTGCTGACCGCACTTTACTCCCAGGAAGATCCCTAGTACTCATTTCTGTTAGAGGCTGAGTCAACCCCTGGGCTATAGTGTGGCTGGAAGGATTATGTAAATTGAAAAAATCCACCTCATTGGGACTTGAACTCATGAATTATAATGTTAGGCAAATCATTTATATAACAATAAAGGTCCTAGAATCGATCACCATTATTAACTATGCCCCATCCAGAATGAATATGCCAATTATTAATTACAACTCTCTGGTATCTATCTTTGAGGTAGGATTTTACCAGTGCACTGACTCCACCAACTGTTCCATAAAATTCCAGTTTAGAAAATAAAATATCCTGACACAATCAAAAGCTTCCTTCAAATCACAGAATATACCACCAAATAATATTTTGTTACTCATTATATGTTGGTGCAGTCTTGCATATATATATAAAATTTTCATTAACTTTTGAAAAGGATATTAATAATGATATAGGTCTATAGTTGGTCATTATTTTTATCTGCATTTTAAATAGTGGTTTTATTTCTGAGTATTTCAACCAAGTGGGAAGACACCACTTGTAAGGGATCTGTTACAAATAGAAGTTAATGGAGAGCTAATGAAAGGTGCACTGATTTTCAGAAGGTTGACTGAAATTTCATCATACCCATTGGTCTTTTTTGATTTTAAAGATTTAATTATCTTTTCAATTTCTTTAGTAGAGGTATAGTTGAATTTAATTTTAGGGAAGGGAATTGTGAAAGCTTGAGACAGATAATTCAAATATTTTTCAGTATCAGACTCTATAGTGTGGCCAACATTCACATTACTGGAATTGATTTTGTCAGCTATAGTTAGAGAATAATTATTTAAAGAATCTGTAATCATATGATGATTATCAATTAATTTCCCATCAATATTTAGGAACTGTATACCTGCATTATTAATTTTTCTACCTGTGACTGATTTTATAATGCTCCAAGTGGTTTTCATTTTGTTATTAGAATTAGAAATTAATCTATAGTTGGGTGAAGCACTATGCTACAAGCAGGAAGGTCAGGTTCAAGTCCTGATGAGGTCACTGGATTTTTTCAATTGACCTAATCCTTCCGCCTGCACTATGGTCCTGGGATGACTCAGCCTCTAACAGAAATGAGTACCAGGAATATTCTTGGGGGTAAAGGGTGGCCAGTGCATAGGGCTGACAACCTTGCCACCATCGATGAGTATGAGCCGATTGTCTAGAAAATGTGGGAACCTCAACATCTCACGACCCTATGAGCCTCCATGGCCTGTTACAGTGATACCTTTACTTTACTTACTTTAATAATGATTTTTAGCTTTTATAACACTGGACAAAATTTTGCAGTATGTTATTCTTAAGAGTTAAACAAAGCTCTCTTTTGTACTGATATGAAATCTATACCACTTGTCATCCATGGATTATATTTAGTTTTAAATTGAACTTGTTTCTGCGGAAAGTTAGAGTAGAATACTGTACCAACATCCTAATCAACAAAAATATTGTCCCAAGTTTCATAACAAAAAACTCATTCACAGAGGTCTCGCTGAATTTCATTACTAATTGGGTGCACATGCTATGCATTTGTGCGTTAATATTATTTATATATATAATCTGGCCAGCATGATCAGACAGACTGTTAATAAGTGGAATTATGGTATAATTTTCACTTCTGTTAAGATCAGTAAAAATATTATCAATATCCTGCATCACTTGCATTTGATCCACTGGAGGACTAAAAGAATTACAGTGATGCAAAAGGACTATGATCTGAGTACAGCATTTAGCTTGAAAGTAATTCCATACTGTAGAAGACAGTCAAGCAACGAATTGCAAGTTAATTTTCAGACAAGTGAGAGATAAGAATGACAAATCTGAGACATTCACAGATATTATTAAATTAGACTTGTTGCCTTCTGAACTTCTTAATAAATGCAATTAGGCTCTCATCTCCCAGATCCCAGCATGATGTGAGATCTATTTCTTCCAAGTTATTCTGATGGAAGGTTAGTGCCTCAATACAGTCAACAGTTACCCAGTGACAGTTTTTCAACTTCAGACTCTTCAAATCCTGTAATATAAGAGATAAAATTAGGTATGAGTGACTAATAATATCTCCTGATACTATCAATCATACGAGCTATATTTCTTCACCTAGCAATTAATCAAGAAGCATATTTTGTCCAATAATTTCCTGACAGTTCATGAAAGGAACTTACTTTGCAAAAGACAATAAGAGGCTGTAGACATGCACTAGTTAACCCAAGACAACCACTTAAGTTAACATAACTTAAGTGTGTATTGTTGTAAAAGAGACGTTTAAGAAGTTTATCTTCAAACCAATTGCAATAGGCAAGGTTTATGTGTCGAATACTTTTGCAATTCTGGACAAACACCTGTAAAGTGAACAGGAATGTTTGGTTAGGCCCTTATAACACATAAGACGTCTTCTGCAACATTTATATAACAGCTGTCTCTCGATCAGCAACCAACACACTGTTTTAGTTTCAACGTACATTAAAAGCAGGCCCATTGAATGTTTTCAACATAGATATGTTTATATTTTTTATTATTGCGAAGTAGCTGTCCACAAGTTCTCTACAAAGCTTACACGTTGATCGCAAATTGAAACAGTCCTTGAGCGTAAGGTACGGTAAAACGTGCTGGAACAAAATGTCATCCCATGACAACTGCAACAATGTGATATTCGCAATTTCAGACATTTCTTGTTTACATTACTAACGGCATTCAGATATCACTCGTGTCTTATGGTAAACAAATCCTCCACGAACTTGACAACTCTTTGACACCTCTAACAACACGACACCACGGCCCCCACAGACTAGCATCCACGCAATCACACACCAAATATCACCACTCGTCACCTGGCATGTAAACACAACATTAAGCCACAAGAATGGGCAATATGAATTATAGTTTTATAATCTTGCTAGACTATTTCGAAATGTAGAAATTCCTGTTGGAACGACAGATGACATAATGGTCAGTTTTCAAAATTGATATTATTTGTTGACACTGCAATAAAATATATCTCTGTGCCTAAAAAGAGAAGTAAGCAAACATGAAAATGTTATTCGTTTAGGGGTTGATCTGGAGCCTGGAGCTTGCGTTTTCGAATTTCATATGCCTGCGACAGCAAAACACAACAGAAATGTCACCATATTGGCGAGACTGACTAAACCGACTAAACGGACTAGGCTGACCGAACCTGACGTTAGCTGCGGCGATATAATTAAAGTGCTATCTGTCGGGTAATATCTAGAACTATTCATTCGGTAATAGAAACCAGACATGGTGACATGGTGACATGGGTTCGTCGTGGGTGGTCTGGTGAAAATGTGGGTGGTCTGGCGCGTATGGCCAAGGGCTTTGTTCGCTGTTTATGCTCCAATAGAAAGACGAAGCCTGTTACAGAAGGCAACTTCTACGTTCTAATACTGTCATCAAATTCTCAGTTTCATGTGATTTTTAAATAAAAGTAAAAATTTGCTTTTTAGTGAGGCAGAAGTTAGTAGTATTATCTGTTTTGTAAAAGTGAATGCCTATAGATTTGCAGGTAGTTAATTTATCGCTAATGTATCGTGTGAGATTGACGTTTTCACTGCGGTGACTTTGAAGATTAATGCCTACTGGGATATGACGCCGTGTAATTTTTAGATATTTACCAGTGTTTCCAGGAACCGGATGCCTCCATCTTCAGGGCAGAAGAAGAAGATGCAGACAGCAGTTCCCACTAGAACGATGGTACAAATCTACCAGACTCCATGGCCTTACCTCCTAGAACACAGTACTCACTAACATACCTGTTCATCGAGTTTCCCTCTTCCTTACAGTTTCAATTGGCAATGCAAGGAAGTCTGGCATCAGCAGTATTTTGTATTTTAGTATTTACTGCAGTATTGCATTTTGTTGTGGGGGAAACCAGAGGAAGCAATGTGACATTTATAGGAAAGACTTCAAACTTCAGTAATGCAAATTCATGGTATGATGGGGAACATGCATTCCTTCGGGACAGATATTCTCCAAGGGATGCTATTTTACCACCACCAGATGGGAAAGGACCATACTGTAGACAGCCTGCAAAATGTGAATATCTTAATTATACTACATGTATGGGTGTTAAACTGCCCTATGCATCCACAACACGTGATTTAGTGGGTGATTCAAGTACACAGGAGCAAATACAGGTTTGTTTTTTTTTGCATATGTTTTCTTTATTTTCTTGTTATCGAATGAAAACCATAAAATAGGCCATTATCACTGCCTCATACATACATTTTAAATTACTATTCATAATTATTCTGTTGTTTCATACATTTCATTTATTCACCTTCCATAAATTCTGTCAAGAATGCATTCTCATGTGGCTGTGGAGATCATCCTAGTTACAGTCACAACTAAGAATTACAGTTGTCATCCAATAGCATACACATTTGTAATAAAATACTGATAAACATATACAATATAACAAATANAACATACATCAATAGTATAATAAATTGAAATAAAGACTAGTATACAGTGATATAAAGATTGTGTATATCTAAAATAAGCAACGAACCAGAACACAGACTGATAATCTTGTCTTTTAATTGTAAAGCAAGACAGCTATTCGCATCTTAAAAAGATTTATAACCACAGAATAACCTGTGCATTTGATACCAGACAATTACATAAACCAAAAGAGATGCAAGATTTGAGGCTTCCAGTGTGGTGATTCTCAAGAATATGCTCTTGTGGACTGTGATTCTGTGTATTCCTGTAGGTGGGTGCCAGTGTTTCAGAGGAACATGCCATCACAATCTTCAGGTTCAAATACTTCAACTACAGGTCTTCCACAGTGTCATACCCCAGGAGACCGCAATCTGAGCAGTCACCACTGTGAGGGCATCCAAATCAGGCATTTTCCTCTCCCTCTCCTAGACTTTAAGAATAGAAGTCGATGCTTACCTGTTCACCTTTTCTCAAGCACAGTACTTTTTTTGTGCAGTACTATCTCATGCTTCCTATGAAATTATCCATTTACATTAATATATAAGAGATGTTTCAGATCTCCATGTGAAGCAGTAGTTTGTTTCTTAAGTAAACACTGTACTCTTACATATATGTGTATATGTAACTATTTTTCTACATTATCAGGAAGAGGTATGACACATTTCAGTCTTTGAAAACTATTATAATTTTCTCCTCCTGACATCTTATCTTCCTTGTTGTCTTACATTCAGCAGTGTTTGTAGTGTGAATATTATGAAGTTATCTCTGAGAATGCATATTAGGTTTGTAGAATGGTAGAATGAATGAGTAAGGGGCAAGCCTTGACTGGTCCTTGAACTGTGACCATTAGTGATCTATTGTGCCTCCTTTTCTGTTTCAGCCCTTCAGCAATTTTACAGTTCGAATGAAGTGTAGTGTCTTACTTAATCGGGCATCTTGGTAGTCACCTTGGCTCCATCAGTTTAGAACATTAGAAACTTTCATAACATAAAGCTGGAAAAATGGGCGTATTAGCTCCTCATGTCTGTCTGTCATTCTCACTGTCTGCATATAAAAACTTGAGAGCTGTGGAAAAGAATTTTAATATCCTTCTTCTGCTATTGCAAGGATTGGGTCCAAGTTCCATTCTGAGTCTAGTTGACCTATTGCTTCCATCTCTTCTTTGGTCATCCCAGGAAATGTCTTCCCACCAGATTGTAATGGTATGCATACCATTGTGGATGCTCAGGGGTTGTCCTTTCCACATGTTCCTTCCAGTTTCTTAATTAGATTGTGTCCAGTTTCTTCTGTATTCTCTATTAATGAAATTTTGTTATGGAGAGCTTTACTAAAATCTGTTGACACGTTCCAGTTTTGGTTAGAACAGGAGACAGTAGTAATGAACAGTGATGTTAATTCTGTTCTTGGGTTGTTAGACCATGTGACTGTGGACAGTGTTGCTGATGTTACAGAGGTACATGCCGTCTCCATTTTCAGGGTTGAAGGGTGTAGGTTGACGAGTTGCTGTGTACATATATCATTCAATCTTGGAAAGAAATGGGGAGGGAGATATATAGATGAGGGACCAATTACTGCTCTTTCCCCTCTTCCCAATTCCTGCTCAAAACAAAATGCCATAAGTACACAGCAGCTCACCAACCTCCGCACTTTGATCTTGAATATGGAGGCAGCGTGATCTCCAAACATTGCCAACATTACCCACAGCCACATGGTGAAACAACACAAGACTAGAATTAATACCAATAATTAGCCACTATGAAAGATGAAAGTAGTTAATAGACACTTGTATGAAGCTCTACATGCAATTCTGCACATGTCTTTCAAAACAAACAGAGAGAGAAGTGAAACATACATTTTATGCCTGACACTTTTTCTGTAAATCTTAGTTATTGAGAGGAAAGGAATTTTTATTCTTTCTGAACCAAGTAATATTGATTGTGCCATCATAGTTATGCTGTGTGTAATTTCATAACTTGTGCTAACTGTGGACCCACTGTACCTATAACTAATTTATTGAGTTATTATATTTCAGGAAAAGTTGCAACAGTGGCAAGGGTTACGTCACATTCCAAAGTGCTGGGCTGTGGTTCAGCAGTTTCTCTGTGCACTGTACATGCCAAAATGTGAGAATGGAACAGTGGATTTACCTTCACAGGTACTGCGAGCTTATTTTTCATTTCTAAAATGTATTGTAGTGCTGATGTATGTATTGCTAGTGGGGTGGGACTAAGTCCCTTGTACTACGGCCACTCTGGCCTATTGTACCAGCCCCAGATGATAGGTGAGGGTGATTGTGGAGCAATTGGTGGAATGAAGATTGGCAGGGGAAACCGAAGTACTCAGAGAAAACCTGCCCCAGCGCCACTTTATCCACCACAGATCCCACTTGTCCAGACCCGGGGTTGAACCCGGGCTGCTGCGGTGGGAAGCCAGTGACTAACTGCTTGAGCTATGGTGTGGCCTGATGTATGTATTAGTAAAATGTATGTATGTAGACATGATTCCAAAAGTGTTAGATGTGATGTGGTTGAGAACAAGGGAAGTAGTGTATTCAGTCTCGTCAGACAATTTGTGATAAGTATATCAGTCACACAAGGAACTACATCAAATTAAAAATTAGGATCAAATTCTAGAACTCCTAATTCAAAGCATGAGTGCTAATCACTCAACCATGATATTCAGTTAAGTATTTTGGAATATGCAGAATTAACATGGCCACACACAGTTCAAGAATTGATTAAAGTGGTATCTGAAGGTTAGGTAACTGGAAGTGTCACCATTATAAAAAAGTTTAGGCAAAAACAGCCTATTAATATGTTTTTCAAATACTTATTCCTTTTCTGTAAGTAAAATAGAAATTATAATAATTAATCACATAATTCTTTTTTAAAGGAAATGTGTAAAATGACAATGGGCCCATGTCGCTTGCTCGATTCAGCCAATAACTGGCCTACATTTTTTAAATGTGATGATACAGCCAGATTTCCTCCAATGTGCAAGGTAAGACTGCTTCTGCTTTCCAAGTGTTTTTTTTTATTGTATTTGTTAGTATTATGAAAAAAGACCAACACTGTGAAATGTAGACACAACCTGAAAATATTACTATATTTTATAAAGTAATGTTTATTGAAAGATAAGCAATGAGAACAGAATTTTATTATATAAAAAAATATGTACATATTTAAGCTACTTCTGAACTTAGTCACCTCTGGAACTGAGGCACTTGTCATATTGGGAATAAGTTTTTGTTTGCCTGTGTCAAAGAAGTCTGCCACCTGTGAACTCAGCCATGTTTTGTATTGGGGGGGGGGAACCTGTGTAGGGCCATTCAGAGCAAAAGTCATGCAATGCTGACATCCAGTGCTCTTACATCACAATTCACTTCTGCATGCAGCTTCTCATACTCGAGCACTGCTTGAGCATTTCAACTGGGAGTTGTTTGACCACCCTCGTTACAGCCCCGAACTCACTCCAAACGACTTCCACCTGTTTCCCTACCTGAAGAACTGGTTGGGATCACAGTGCTTCAACAATAATGAGGAGTTTATGGAAAGTTTCAAAATGTGGCTGAGCTCACAGTTGGCAGACTTCTTTGACACAGGCATACAAAATCTTATTCCCCAGTACAGGTGTCTTAGTTCCAACAATGTCTGTGCTGAGAAGTATAGCTTAAGTACGTATGTATGTTTTATATATAATAAATTTTCTTTTTATCATTGCTTGTTTTTTAAAGAGCTCACTAGAGGTTACTTTCCAAATAGCCCTCATATTTTGTAGTATCAGTTTTCAAGTTTTTGCAAGAACTCTATCTAATTTTGCTGAGGTTTTCATTGTTCTTCTCAGTTTCTCCAAACAGATGCTGGATTAGTACCCTGAAGTAGGTTTCTTGTATCTTTTCCAGTCCATTGCAAAGCATGTTACCTGATGATACATAATTTTTCTAACTTATACAGTGTCTTTAAATATGACAATCTGTGAACTAACAAACCAATTAAATTCTGATTTGTTACATATAATTCAGTTTTCTATGTGAATTATTTTTTTGGTTGCATAGAAATATGTTAGTTATTGACTCTGGTTTTAGTGAATTAGAGATACTGCCATCATGCTACTTAGAATATTGTAGTTGCCTCTATGTGATATCTGTGTGCTCTCCAAATTAATTTTATGTGTGAAATTTGAATATTTCATACATTCTACTTTATGCAGTGTGTTCAAGTAAAGTCAGATTTCCATTCTTTGCATCATAAAATAATCACATTTGGAAATTTAGTCTGTCCATATGTTTAGTCTCAGAAACTGAATTTTCTAAATCCAGCTCATGTACAGCCTGTTGGAATAGAGATGTCAGTGGGCACAGTCTCGCATTCCTTCACTCTCTGAGCATATAGTATTTTTTTTATTATTGCTAGTGGGGTGGGACTAAGTCTCTTGTACTGTGGCCACGTGTGGCCTATTGTACCAGCCCCAGATGATAGGTGAGGGTGATTGTGGAGCAATTGGTGGAATGAAGATTAGCAGGGGAAACCGAAGTACTCGGAGAAAATCTGCCCCAGCGCCACTTTGTCCACCACAAATCCCACTTGACCAGACCTGGGATTGAACCCTGGCCACCGTGGTGGGAAGCCAGCGACTAACTGCTTGAGCTGTGGCGCGGCCTTGAGCATATAGTAAGTTGTATGCCTTCCCCCACTTTAACTCCCCACTGACATCTTTCTCCTCATAAACAGCTGTACATGACATGAAATGTAGGTTCACAGTTTTTATTCAGTATATTGCTATGTGCCAACTGTAGTGGATAGAAGGTGTCGCATGGTCAGCGCAATGAATTCCCATGGCCGTTAATTTCGGTTTTCTAGACTGGAGCCGCTCTTTCCTTGAAATAGCTCCTCAGTTATCCTCATGAGGCTGAGTGGACCCTGTTCCAGACCCACTACTTCTCAAAAAATCTGGTAGCGCCGGGAGTCAAACCCGGGCCTCTGGATCTCTAGTCAGAAACTCTGATCACTAGACCACAGTTCATCGACAAGTGGCGGTCACTCAGTCAGTACGGTTCGCTTGTGGACTAAAGCCACGGAGTTTGTTTTGTATTGCTGTATGGTTTATATTTGATGAAATACATACAAAGTAATACATTCCTCCATTCTNGACCACAGTTCATCGACAAGTGGCGGTCACTCAGTCAGTACGGTTCACTTGTGGACTAAAGCCACGGAGTTTGTTTTGTATTGCTATATGGTTTATATTTGATGAAACACACAAAGTAATACATTCCTCCATTCCTAACCAGCTTTGTCAACAATTAAGGTCTGTGTTAATGGTATATGCTGTGAATTTTTAGCTCTCATTTAGGCACAAGATCTATGAAGAAGATGAATAGCAAGAAAGAAAATAAGAAAATTACCATATTGGTATCTGCAGTAAATGAACATCAAACAACAGAGGAATGCAGATTTGCAAGTAACACATTTGTGAAATACTCCACTAAAGTACACCTCTAACTCTTTTTTAACCAAGCCCTGTGTACTCACAGGTTGGCAGTAGAGACACTGCTCTGTGTTTTTCGTCATGTCTCTCTCTTCTTTTGTTTGTTACTAACAATATCTGTAATTTAACACTTCAGAATGATGTTCGAGAACTTAAATTCAATACAACTGGTCAGTGTCAGAGCCCTCTGGTGCCAACTGACAACACGCAAGCTTTCTATGAGGGAGTGGAGGGATGTGGAGTCCGATGCCAGAACCCACTGCTGACTGATGATGAGCATAGACAGATTCACCAGCTTGTTGCATGGACAGGAACCATTTGTCTTCTTTTGAATCTCTTCACAGTGGTAAGTAAACTGTTTGAATAGCCAAGTTATGGTTGTGGAGTTCTTATTGCCAACAAGTACTTCATTCTGCCAGAAATCTAATGATTATAATGAAACTACTTTTTGACAGATTTTGATCAAATTTGATATTGCATAGTCTACACTTAAAGATTTCAGGCAAGTTTAATTTTAGTTACTTTTCATTAATATTATTTATTTTGTGGTTTATTTAGTGACATTTTTAATAGCTTAAGACTGGGTAGCATTGAATGGTAGGACAATTAATGAATGATGTATTGGAAAGACTGTAGAAGAAAGTGGTCATGGCCTATATGAAAATATTATCCTGTCATATGTCTGGAAGACTGAAAACTTCAATCAGGATAGTAAGTATCCTGGCTGAGATTCAAACCAGGTACCTGTAGAATACAAGACAGAAGCATGAACCAACTTGTTTGGTACTTTCCATTCATCATAACTTCTATTTCATGTGAAGCTCCTATTGAACTATATTTGGGTTATCATACAAAAACTGGTTCATGACATAAAACAAATAACATTGTTAAATAACCTAAGACTAGTCAAGTAAATAGTCTATCTAAATTGTGTGTGTACTTTTTGACTGGCAATTTATGTGACTTTCAGATGACTTTCTTCATTGACTGGCGATCAGCAAACAAGTATCCAGCACTTGTAATCTTCTACATCAACTGCTGTTTCTTAGTTTCTTGCATTGGTTGGCTAGCACAGTTCATTCCTGGTGCTCGAGAGGGTATTGTCTGCCGTAAGGATGGTACCCTGAGAATGTCGGAACCCAGGTAAGACAAATATTTGTATTAATATTTTCATTCATAGACTACTTTCCATTCTTATGATATGATCATGTCTGCATGTCTGTCCACATTGTTATTTTTTTCCAATACTATTTGAACAAACTGACAAAAATTTAGCCTGAACTTCACACCCCTACAGATTACCTCATATTTGTACTTTTTAATTGCCTACCTTTAAGAATACCAATCTAGTAACTATTTGAACTTCTGATAAAGAATCTGTATTTAGCTGTCAGTTTGGCTTCAGTAACTAATAAAGTATTGGATCTGTGTATGTGAAGTTTTGTATGGAATTACATAATCAACTTCCTTAAAATTCTGTATGAAACATTGTTTACATGGTGATCCTGCAAAGCTTTGAAATTTTGTCTGAGAAGTTTAACCTAACTGGTATATGTACTAAAATTATGCAAAGAAATTTGTCACTGGATAGCATAATTATAATGAAATTTGAAGTTCTAACAATGACAGTCATGAAGATCTCTCTCTTTTGGGTTATGATGTCATATGGTGTGATAAATATTTACCAATATTTCTCCAAAATGTTTATAAATATCTACCAGATTAGTGCAAATAGTAGTTTCAGTGTCAAGTCTTATTTTTGAAGCCTCATAAGCAAGTAGAAAGATTGTCATAAAAATTTATAATATTACATTCTTGATTTTCTATGTTAATGGGTGCAGAAGTCTCATGAATGTTTGAAAATTGAGAGTAATATGAAAATTGTTGAAATATTGTTTCAGACTTAATATAACTACTTTCATTTGAATACGAATGTGTATATGATAGAGAATTCAATGTTCTTGAAGCAGAATAATCAAATTTCATTGTAAAAAATCACACCTTCAAATGGAAATTATGGTTTTGTTGCATTTTATTTGTAGCTTTCAATTTCTTGGGAAAGGGAGGTTAAGCACATTTTATTGTGATCCAAGTACAAGACTTAAAATTTCTTGATTACACAGTTAGTCTGGTTAGGCTCGTGTTAGACACTGCGGATTGTGGGTGATTGTAGTTCTGAATGAATAGAGAAAGTTCTGAAATTAATGCAATCTTTTAACAGTGCAGGGGAGAACCTCTCATGTGTGATTGTGTTTGTGCTGGTGTACTACTTCATCATGGCTGCTTTGGTATGGTTCGTAATTTTGACATACACATGGTACATCAGTTTCCAGGCCTTGGGTAAGTAATGTGTTTCTGACATGCCCTCTCTTAAGTACATATGTCATTTTATTTTAAGACATGGAATAATCTTTTTAATGTGATGTAGAGTTGCCGGCATGTTTGGCTACTCACTCCAATCTAGTGCTGAGATCAAGAATGATGAAGCTGTACCTCCACTCCCCCATATGTCTTCATGGCATAGTACTTAATTAATTAAGCATAGGAACAACTTACCTTACGTGTAAAATCAAGGAATGTAACAGATCATGAATTTTTGTCAGAAGTCTTCACAAACTGTTTTATTAAAATAAATACATATGGATTTAAATCATTCAGAATTGGTCAGTATCTAATGTTACTATCAATAAACTACACTGTAATCATTAAAAGCCTACTGATGCTGATAAAACACACCACTTTCCAGTCACCAGATTTTTATAGAAATGTGTATTCAGTTCATTTGCAGAATATTGATTCAGTCTGCATCTCATTATAAAACTACTTCTTCATATTGTGAAGGATGCATCTGTGCTATTTTCTGTTTTGGGGCCATAAGATATATTTTCTATTGCAGGAAAAATTCAGGAGCGGATAGATAAGAAGAGTGCATACTTCCACATGGTTGCTTGGTCACTGCCCCTGGTTCTCACCATCACTACTATGGCATTAGGCGAGATCGATGGTGACAGTGTTGCTGGTATCTGTTTTGTGGGATATGTGAACCAGGCTGCACGTGTAGGATTCTTGCTTGGACCTATCACTACAGTGCTCCTCGTTGGGGGGTATTTTCTGTCGAGGGGTGAGTGTTAATACTCAGTGTAGAAATATCCACAAATTATAACGAGCTGGGATAGCGCAGTTGGTATAGTGATTGGCTGTGGGCTGGACGGTGGAGGGGTCAGAGTTTGAGTCGCAGGGACAAGATTTGTCTCCTCTCCATGTCGTCCAGACCAGTTCTGGGGCTCATCCAGCCTCCTGTCCAGTGAATACTGGAGGCTCTCTCCCGTCCACCTAGCGCTGAGGCCAAGAATACATGGATCTGTACATCCACTCCTCAGTAATGTCTTTATAGCATAGTGCTTAATTAGCTAAGTATAGGGACAATTGGGCTGTGCCATAGCTCAAGCAGTTAGTCAGTGGCTTCCCACTGCGGCGGCCCAGGTTTGGTCAAGTGGGATTTGTGGTGGACAAAGTGGCGCTGGGGCAGGTTTTCTCTGAGTACTTTGGTTTCCCCTGCCAATCTTCATTCCACCAATTGCTCCACAATCACCCTTACCTATCATCTGGAGCTGGTACAATAGGCCAGAAGTGGCCACAGTACAAGGGACTTAGTCCCACTCCACTAGCAATAAAAAAATATAGGGACAACTTTACCTTTTTAACTTTAATAACAAGACTGTGAAAGTACTTTCAAGATTAAATATGTTAAGAATAATCTTGAAGTCACATATGAATGTTTACCAGTTATATTGAAAATATTGTCACATGTTAGACTGATTGATGGCAGGGTTTTGGATTAGAGATTGGATTTATTGACCACTTCAACACACAGCTTGTGACTACATTTAAATATAGTGACATCACTAATTACCACACTTTACAAATCACTACAGCACAAGCTAAGTCTTGTCAGTCTCCTCTCACTAGTCATTGCTCAGTAATGGATCTTAACAATGGAGATTCTTCAGCTGCACTGACCAAGTCTTGTCTTCACAGACTCCCTTACAGCTGACTCTGTTACAACTGGCTAACTTCTAAACTTGTCTCAGTTATAACGTCTCAGCATGGACCATGCAGAAAACACCATTCATTGTCGTACTCCTTTGTTTTCATAGGAATGTGTTTGTTTGCGTAGGCATTACTCAATAACAGTTGCATATACTTGCTTATTAAGAATCTGTTACTTAGCAGTGGATGTTGTTTCAAGGTCATTATCCAGTAGCAGGACTACATGCTACAGTATTATTGTCAGCATCACCATGGATGGTGCAACAGGAATTGTTTCAAGCTTCATCCTGCATGTGATTTTATTATTCTGATAGTCTTGTCAAATATTTTTATTTATTTTTTCTTCATTGACCAAGAATGTACTGGAATTCTGTATTTATGTAAACACAATAAATGTTTAATCCACTACAGTTATTCTGAAAATAAATATAGTTTAACATAAAGATGGATATTCCTTGACCTTCATGATTCTGACTTGAGCAGATTTCAAGTTAACATGATTTCATATTATTTTCTTATTTAATATATTTAGTGAAGAGTAGAAAAATAATGGAATTATTTGCCTATAGGAAGAAAACTAGGGTTTGTAAAGAGCTAAAATGAATGGCATTGGAGTTAACTGTAATAAAAATTGTTCAGTGAAAATTAAAGGCTGTGAAACCAAAGTTGTGACAGAAATGAGCACCAGCTTGTGAGTTTCTCTCTGGAGTTATTCTTGGGAATGCAACTGTTGCCTAAGTTTCAGAATATCTGTATATGAAAATGTTCAGAATAGTGGTGTATTTTTAAAATACTTCATTTTAGTTCTTATGTTATCATATTGCCTGGTGACAAGATATACACCATTCTTCTCTGTCTTCCTTAAACTGCTACTCTTATATCTCTTCCAACTGTCTTGTTTTGCTTATCTTTCCTAATATGACCTCTCAAATTGTAGTTTATTTTCCATCTTCATTTGTAATTCTCTCGGAGGAAGCTTATTGCCATCCATTTGTAACACATGGCCATGAATGTTATCCCTTCATGTTTGTTTTGGAATACTGTGTGGAAGCTTCATAATATAAGTTTTAACCTTTTATGAAATTTGCTGATTCTTAATAATGTCTCTGACTGACTTATGAAATTTCTTGTCTCTTTGTAATTGCTTCTTGGATTTTTAGTTTTGAAATCTTGTTTATTGTACAGCCATGGGTAATTTAATGCAGATATTAAATATTAATATTTGTTTATTATTTTTGATCATGTATGTTGTAGGTCTTATAACTCTTGTCAGGCTGAAGATCAACAGTCAAGATATTATCTCAGAGAGAGCAAGTGCAAAGATACGTGGGACCATAGTGCGCATGGGCCTTTTTTCACTTCTGATGTTTGTGTTTGTGATGGTGACTTTTGTATGTCATATGTATGAATTCCATCACCATGATGAATGGAAGGATAGTTTCAGGAAATTCATCATGTAAGTTCCATTGAAGAAATATATTTGTTTTCTAAACTGATGGCATGCCATTTTGTAATATCTCTGATATATTTAAGATTTTCTTGCTTCCCAGGTTTAAGGTAGCTGTGAGAGTGTGGTTCTCAATAGCTGCAGTGCAGTCTACACAACTATAATTTCAGTTCTGCTTGAAAAATCTTCTTATACTGATGACTCTGTAATGTTACTATGGAAATTCAGAAACTCTCAGAGTATTGTGAAGTCACTGAATTAATTTGTACCTATCTTATCTGTCTATGGCTGTACAGCCCTTGTGGACCTTGGCGGCTTTTTCAGTTTCTTAATTCATACACAGTCAATAGGACTCCTTGGATGGGGGATCAGCCCACCAAAGGCCACTACCTAAACACAGAGCAACACAAACAGATTAAATGCACACAGACAGCCATGCCTTGAGTGGGATTCGAACCCACAACCCCAGTGTTCGAGTGGGTGAAGATGGTTCATGCCTTAGACCGCACAGTGACTGTGGTTGCCAGTTTGAGCCTGTATGTCCCTAAAATTTGACCCTAAGATATGGAGTCAGGTTTTAAATAATGCATAAACAGATTATTTTTATATAAATTATGTAAACTGAAGAAATATCTTTAGAAAGTAATGTTAGATAACTCTTATACAAAACAAGGAAGATAATTATTATTATCTTACTCATAAGTGTCATAATTTTATCTGTGAAAGTCTGGCTGTATTTGAGGAAAATCAGAGTTGTGTATGGATGCCATATGTTGCATTGAATATGCTACTAAAACCAATAGGAATTAGAAGAAAAGAGCGAAATTCCTTTAGAAGAAGATAATAAAAATTACCTGTGCATGTCAGACTGCCCCCCCTTCCCCATATACACACACAGACACACATTGGTGAGTTTTCTCAACAGTGCAGCAGCTGTGAAGTGAACTTACATGCTGTGGGTTGGTGTGATTTAACAGGAGGACCATCTGATTCTTCCATCTAAGTGCACACTCACAGACAGTCTCATTGTGCAAGCAGGCCATGTCCCATTAAAATAATGTCCTGCAATTCAAGAATTCTGAGAAATATAAGTAGAGCTGCTGAATTTATTGAAGTGAAATAATTGCTGACCATCACCTCTGTAAGATAGTTAACTCATTCTCAGTGCTGTATACTCACTGCATATTTATGTCATGCTCTGTGATAACCATAAGAGATATCCATACTTGCGAGGCAGTGTTTAACTTGACTAACCTAATTTTCTCATTTTCTCTCTGGAGGACTTGGAACTGCATCCAGACAGCAGAGGTGACAGAATTGTCTGTAAGTTTGTTTTACACAGCTTTCTGCAAATGATGTTATTTTGCTGGTGGTTCTGCTTGGTCCAGTTGTGTGCTGTGGTCCCTCACCTAGTTAGGGCACAAACATTAGTCTCACAGCTACTTTATTTTTTTTCCTTAGTCTGTTTAATGGTCCTTTGTCAACCACTGTGGCAAATTGGAAATAACAGGATGATTTTGATTAGTCATTTAGGAAGGATGGTGGAGGATGCTGTTATAGTATATTTGGCTGGAGGGCCTGAAGAAAACCATGAACAGCTTTTGTCAGGACAGCCAGTCTCCGTGAACTTAGGATCTACTGAGGGTAAAGCAGGAGTGATAATGTGTACCCTGTAATGTTCAGTTGAATATAAATTGAAACATACTGGGTGTCTGATGGATATAAAATAAACTTGATTTAATGGAAGACATTTAAGTTTACATCATGAATTTTAAGTTCTTGGGGCTCCAGTGGGCATTAATCGGTATTTTTAATCAAAATTTAAGCTATAATCATGAGGTGCATCTTTTATGATCCATTCATGTCATGTATGAATATTTATTCCTGTCTCACAATAGACTGGAAAAGTTCAAGATGCTGTTCTTATACATGTCTTTAAGGAAAAGGAAAAGCCATGAAAACTATAACCTGTTTATTAAGTGAAATTAAAAAAAAGTTTCCTTGATTTAGTAATTTTATATTTGAATAATATGATTAGTAATCGTAATTTACAAAATTTGAATCTGCTGCTTGCAAAAGTAATACAATGACACTGAAATTCCAGATGTAGTTTCCTTCTTCGGGAATGTAGTTGTACGAGTATGGTGGGAATGGGCAATATGTCATTTGTTTTACTAATGATACTTTATTAGTTTGATTTATGTTTTATGGTATATGCTTATGTATTTCATGCATTTCTGTACACCCATTATCATAAAAGTTACATAAGATTCAGTACTTTAACAAATTCCATGCCATGAAAAAATATACTATATCAGAACATGTCCTTTCCTGTATGTGTTTGATGTTTGACATTATCAGTGAAGGACACCTCTCCTGTTGTCTCCAGACACTAAGTCAGTTGTTTCCAGCCACCTGCAAACTGCAGTAATCATACCAACATTTAAAACAGAATGTTTTCCTAGGATCTACCATATATTTACTGACATCCTAATTTTATATAACAATCTGATAATATACACTGAAGTATGTAGATACCTTTGTGATATGGTACATACCTCAAGAATGTTTCATCAGGTGACAGAACATTTACTCTTTCATGCACCTGTGACATTCATTTCTTTCTTTTGTGTTTGTGCTTTTTAAGGTACATTTTGTATCCTGCATAATGTTTTTGTTGCTTTGCAATATCTCATTTCTCTTGATGATTTGTCAGTGTTCAATGTGGTATAATGTGCAATTCAAATAATTACAAATAACAGAAAAATTATTTTTACCATACTCTAGATGCTAATATAATATCTAAATATGTATAATTAAAACGGGTTATGACAGTATGAATTGGATTAAATTGGCACAAGATAGGTTCCAATGGCAAGCTTTTGTGATGACAATGAGAAACCTTTGGGTTTCTTAGCAATAAGAAATTTCTTAAAGAGCTTATTACTCAGAAAAGACCCATGTCAATTTGTCTAATAGTTGGGTCAACCATTTAATTAATCAATTATAAGCCCAATATAGGACCTTCAAAAATATATAACTTGTCGCTTCTAGAGAGGAGAAATGAAACTCAAGATATCGAATGTAGATCTGATCATTTAGAATGCAGAAAGTTCTGACTAAACTTTGCCACTGTTCCACTTCAGAGGAGGTTTTATACATGATTGAAAGTGTGTCTGTAACTTCTGATTACCCAGTGTTTCATTCAGCACAAAATTATATTCAGTTACTTAGCACCCATTACTAGCATCTATTTGATAATATTCCGTGTCATTAGAATGTTCTGTAAATAATTGAATGGAAACAGTGTTTTGTGCTTACAATAGCAAATGAGAGTTATAGAATAAAATGTTTAAGAGAGAATGCTGCAGGTTATATTTAAATGGATTGTCATGTGACTGTTTGCCAGTAGATAATCACGTGAAAATACATGCTAAAACTGCACAGTTGTTATATAGCTAGAGCACAGTTATCCCCTCTGGAAAACCTTAGGTTGAGTGTTGTATGTGAAATCTGTAATGCACAAATTTCACTTTAGTACCGTATTTGTACTTCCGGTTGAATGTTTTTGTCATTATTTTCTAGTTAAAACTTGCTTTGGCAATGATCAGGCTTTAGTAACTTATGTTTGTTGTTTAGCTGCCAGGTAGTAAGCACTGGCAATGCAGAGCCAAACAGGTGCAGGATGGATTCACGACCAAGCCTTTCCATGCTGCAGCTACATCTTCTGGTGATGTTCCTGGCAGGTGTTATCATGTCATCATGGGTATGGACTAGCTCCACAGTTGACACTTGGAGAAGATGTGTCAGGAGGTATAGAGCAATGTCTTTATGCAGTGCAGTGAAATTGGAATGTGGCTACCTAATTGAAAGCATGGGATTCTCATACCTTATATATATATATATGCGTGAGGTTTCATAATACAGGCTGTTCAGTAAATTTTTAAGCTCAGAGAGGATGAGTAGAGGAAGACAAAAGGAATATTGAAGATGTAGGTTCATGGCCCCATGTTTTTTCCAGAACTTTACTTAACAAAATCACTGCCATGCCCCTGTGCTGGGATTTGACCTGCTAAACCAGTCATTTTCTCATGAAAACTGGATTTTGAACTTGCTGCATTCAGAACAGAACTGGAAGAGAACAAATGAAAAACTGTCAAACAGTCGCTGTATGCTTTGAGTCTGTCAGGCTTTTAAATCTCTCTCCATTTGAGGGATATCTGTAGGTAAAAATGAGATTTACCGACACAATGGCACCAGCCTGTCATGTGATGGGATCAGCACTGGCATGTGTAAACTTCAGCCTTTGAAGTGGTGGCAGTGAATGGGTTTTCAGACTTTGTCCATCATCCGGATTCTAAATAACTAAGAAAAAACACACCTCACCTGAGGATGGAAGCAGATCCAGTTTCCAAAATATTGTGTTTTTTCTTAGTTATTTAGAATCCGGATGATGGACAAAGTCCCAAAACCCAGTATCTCTGTGTGTTACACACCATTATCAGAACCTTATACAATCTACTTCAAAATCTGAAGTTTTGACCTATTTGAGAACTGTTTGTGAGCAACCAGTTCACAGCAAGTAAAACAGTCAGCTCACAGACAGCTTGTTTATAGTTAGACCTCAGTTTATGCAAATTTGCTTTTTTCTGTGAGGATGTCAACTGGTGTTCATGAATGGGTCCTTTTAATTTAGTGCTTCATGAGCAAATTCTCAAGGAGTTCACCACCAGTATATGAGCTGAAGAAAGTCATCTTCTGGGATGTGGCACCATGTAGAAATTGTGTTAAATGATGTTTTGGAGGAATGTATCGCCTCCATCTTCAGGGTAGAAAACAAGAAGGAATCCACGAGCGAACCAGCGGAGCAGGTGCAAGAGACTGAATCCAGTCGAGTAAACACAGCTGTATAAGAGAAGGAAAGAAGGAGTGTGGCTACATAGGGAAATAGTAGAGAGGGGGAGGGGAAGGGTCTGGTGGAATAGCCAGCAGGTAGTGGGCCAGAGCTGGTATAGAGTATATGAGCTGTTCATGGTCACCAGTCCCCACCAGGTTAGTGAACAGCTTACATCCTCAGGGATCTTGCAAGCCTGTATGGTAGCCAAGAACTAGTCAAGAATTGAGGTAGCTTTGTTATCAGCATGCCAAAGCTATGTAAATCTGTTTTTTCATGTGTAACACAGTAGAATATACTGAACTTAAAGTCTCCTGTGACACTAAACATGCAACAACTTATTGTATAAAGGGAATTAAAATTAATTGACCTGCTGATGTCAGAATGCTGTTAATTTAAATGGCACAGCAGTGGATTAATATAATGGCATCTACCAGCATTTCAGGTAATGTAGATGGCATTCCGTGATTGAAGATACGGACTTCGTACTACTTCTGTATACATGTCATACCAATGAGAAATTAGAGCTGCATATGATATGTGCTGTCTGTCATATCATTGTCAGAATTACAGAATGAGGAGTACAAGTAATAATATGGCTTTTATAAATGATCAGATAAGTGTATTTCTCTCTCTCAGGACTTTGAAGAGCCAAGTAGAAGAACCAGTTAGACTGAAGAAACACAAGGTCATTGCTCAAGCATTTGCGAAGAGGAAGACATTCAACAATGCAGGTCGCCTCTCCATTAGTTTTCATAGCACATATGAGGATCCTGTAGGTAAGTTGTTTTACAGTTTCTTATGTTGAGTGATTTTATTATAGGCTAAATATATAATGTTATCATAACTGCTAAAAATATGTGACAGAGTGTAGAAAATGAACTCACAGTTTTGAGGTCATGTCTGTCCATCTTATGTTTTATCTTACAAAGTAATGAATATATGGACAAATTTGATTTTGGTTTGAAGAGTTGCATGTTTTGCAATATAGTGCTGTGTAGTCTAGTGAAAATCAGCCAACATTTTGGAGGTTAATGTTGCCTCCATCTTCATGATTGAAGAGTAAGCCAAACAAAAAACCAACATGAAGCAGGAAGAAAGCAGAGTAAAAGTTGATTCAAAGACATTGCACATTCTTTCTTACATACAGTTGACCTTGACTACATTGCTTTGGAAACCAAATTGATTATTTCTCAATATACCATTGTTGTTTGCTGAATACCAAGCAACAGTGAAACCCATCTGGTCAAGAAAGCCCATTTTGAGAAAATTGCATCTCAAGTTTGGGCCCCTAATGTGTATACCATAATTTGCCCAAAGTATCACCTTTTATTTAAGGATATGGTCTCCATAAGTTACTGAAATTTAGTCAAAATCGTTAAAACTATTTAAAAAATGCTACTTTTTGTTTTGGGGCATATTTGAAGGTGTCCTGTTTTTTGGCAGAAATGTTCAGACTCATTGGGCAATGACCTAGGGTGGATGAAACCTTACTTCTCATAATCAGGGGGCTGAAAACACGTAAATCCATCAAATGTTGAGGTGACTTTCTCTGCTGTCACAGTGCTTTGTCACATGTACTACAAATGAGAGAAAGTAAAGGATGTGTATGGTGGAGAACATTCTAGCTGTGATTGTACTGCCCAAAACTTCTGTTATCTGAAGCAAGTCATATGAATATTTCATCCAGGAGCTCATACATGAGAAGCACAAAGGAATGAGACAACAGCACCATACAGCTATGTNATTTTTTAATATCTTACTACTCTCTATAATGAAATCATACTATCTGAAATGGTGTGTATCCAGACTTTTCCAAATATTAGATACTCCACTGTAATTCTCATTCTCCCAAGGATGCAATTTTTGCAGTTGTTGACTCAGAGGGAAGATCAATGAAGAAAATATTAATGATCAAAGGACTTCAAGGTACTAATAACATAATTCTTTTTTATTCAGGTATGAACTTTGACATGAACAGTGCTGCATCACAGGACTTAAGCTCTACATGGGCTGCAGCTTTGCCAAAACTGATGACACGACGTGGCGCCCTCATAGGAGTGACCACAGGCTCCAACTCAAGTCAGCACCACAACTCTATAGATTCTGAGATCAGTTACAGTGTGAGAAGGTAGTGACATACTGCAATTTGAGCAGATCTGATGCTTCATTTCATTGCAGTTGTGACATTGGCTGTTGGCTGAGATCAGAATGTACAAAACATTTACTGGTTGTTTTGTTTGGTTCTGTTGTGTGGTCTCTTATTTTGAGCAAAGAACATAAATTTCAAGCTCTGAAAACAAAATGGTTATGAAAATATTTGATCTCAATAAGACAAGGTAAGTGAGATGTTTAGGATACTGCATAACAAGGAACTATATGGGTTATACAGGTCATCTAGTATTGTTAGTAGATTACTGGGTTTTTTACTTTGTCCAGTATCCAATATCCTAAGAAAACTAGAGAACACAACATTATATTATATTTCAGCATCCTGTTGCATTGAGGTATTATTCAATTATATGTACAGCATCAGTAATGCCACAATGATATTTAAAATAAGAGAAAAACAAGATAAAACAACATACAAAACTGTGATAGCCACAAAAAGAATACAGCAACAGAGTTCTAGACATGTGACAACAACAAAAGATGACGTCCCGGAGAGCACAGAAGATAAGCAGACAGTACAGAGGTCTCCTCACCAATCAAAAATTTGCCTGATGATGGCCCATGTGCAGCTGAAACATGTTGCAAAGTAGAAGAACACTCGATATAAATTAAAGACATTTTATAACATTTAATAACATTTTAAAGTGTAAAAACTACACTTTTAATGAGGACCATTTTGGAAAGTGAATCTGTTTCCATCCTTAGGTGAGGAGGGAGACACCTGCATCACTGGATGTCCAGTGATTGAGGATAGCACTTTTCTAAGTGACCCAACAAAGTATGTATGTCCCCCCTCACGTGAGAACAGAAACAGATGTAGTTTCCGAAACATTCAACTTCTTTGTTAACCATCACAAGACAACAAATGTGAAGATCAGTGCCTAGCTACGGCTCTGCTACATGTTTCGGCTATCAGTAGCCATCATCAGGCAAATACACGGTTAACATATATACACCACTGAACTGCAGTACTATTAAACTGAATACAATACTATTAATCATATAAAACACTTGACATAAAAAATGCAATAAATCAGATTATATAAAACAGAAGTTATAGTATAAAACAAGAATACAATTTTAAATTGATGTTTTATATCATCGAATCAGTCGTTGGTTTTTTAATTTCGTTGCGTTTCCATGGACAAATTGGAATATTCTATATTTTTTCTTTTTGTATATAAGATTGTATAGGAGGCTCATGATGTAGATGTAGTTAGTTAATGTTGTTAATTGTTTAGTCAGTGCCTCATCTTACAAAGTATTGTCTGTACTGTAGGGAATGTAAACAATGACTGTACTGCAGTTCAGTGGTGTATATATGTGTTAACCGTGTATTTGCCTGATGATGGCTATTGATAGCTGAAACATATAGCAGAGCCATAGCTAGGCACTGATCTTGATATTTGTTGTGTTGTGATGGTTAATAAAGAAGTTTTATATTGTAACACAACAGGATGCATGAAATGAAAATTCCACAACGTTATTTTCTCTAGTTTTTTAAGACACCAGACGATGGACAAAGTTCAGTAACCGAGGAATTCTGAGTAGTATTGTTAGCATAGTGAAATATGGATAGCTGTACTGAAGTGGGTATGTAGCTGGAGAAGACATGGAAGGCATATGGAATTTGGGTGGAAAAATGGACAGTTAGAGAAGTCTAAGAAGGAAGTGGGAGGAAAATTGTAATATTGCTCTAGACTTGTGTTTGGTAGGTGCTCAGTTTGAATCTTGGCTAGGACATTTACCATTCGAACTGGTATTTTTCATTGTTACCCTTTAGGCAGATACTGGGATAGTATTTTAATTAGGCTATGATTGTTTCCTTGCAGATCCTTCCCTGTTTATCATTCATAGTTATCCTATCTTTTGATTCCATATAGGCATTACTAAAAGTACCTTTAAATAACCAGAGAGAAACACAGAATTTTAGGAGGCAGATTGTAAGGATGGAACTCATTCAAGATTGTATCCACTAACAAGTTTTTATATTAACGATGTTGAATCTTCAGGTTCTGCTACTGGAGCATGTATCAGTAGTTGAGGCAGCAATGTCCTCTGTCAGAGGTATAATTCATATACAGTCAACTCTCGATTATCCGGGGGCGGATTAACCGGTTTGCGGCTTAACCGGGGCTTTTTTTTTTAAGTTTATATGTTGTTTAATATTCATTCACTTTTGTTTCACATGGTGAGTTTAACACTATTTTCGCACTAGTGTGAACCGAGCTCTGCATTATTTCGTCCCGTTATGCGAACACAATGTTCTAGGGTGGGGGTGAAAGAATGCAAGAATTTTTGGAAAGTTTCAAGGACAAATACACCGCCCCAGGTTATTTAACGGTACCATCTCAGTGTGAGAGTGCATTGTGAAAGTAAGTATCAGTTTCTTAATATAGATCTTCAAGTGCGTTAGCAAAATGTCGGGGTTTAAAAGGAAGCGTGTTGTGTTAAGTATTCAACAGAAACTTGAAATTATCAATCAGCTGGAAAAAGGAGCTGTAGTTAAACAATTAGCAATGCAATACGGTATTGGAGAACAAACTGTTCGTGATTTGAAAAAACAAAAGAATGAGTTAATTTCCTTTGCTTCGTCTTCTAATTCAAGCGGAATGAAGAAGAGAAAAACCATGAAGAAATCAACATACGATGATCTCGACAAAGCGATGCTGACCTGGTTTAATCAACTAAGGGCACAGGGAACAACAATAACAGGACCAGTTTGTGCTAAACAAGCTAAATATTTTTTCGAAGCACTTGAACTAGAAGGGAGTTTTGACGCTTCTTCCGGTTGGCTAACACGTTTCAAGCAGCGTCATGGAATACGAGAAATCAGTATTCAAGGTGAGAAATTGTCAGGGGACTTGTCAGCATCAGATCAATTTTGCACCAATTTTGATAGTTTTGTGAAAAGTGAAAATCTGCTGCCAGAACAAATCTATAATGCCGATGAAACGGGTCTTTATTGGAAATGCTTGCCAACCAGAACATTGGCATTTCAAAATGAAAGACAGGCTCCAGGTCACAAATCCAGTAAGGAGAGATTGACAGTCTTGTGCTGTTCTAATGCATCAGGAACACACAAACTAATACCAGTAGTTATCGGCAAAGCGAAAAGACCACGCTCTTTTAAAGGAACAGTAGCTTCAAGTCTGCCTATCCATTATTTTAACCAGAAAGTAGCTTGGATGAATAGAGCGATATTTAAAGAATGGTTTGATTTTAAATTCGTGCCTCAAGTTCGTGACCATCTAAAATCCCAAGGCCTACCTGAGAAAGCTGTGCTCCTCATTGACAATGCGCCCTCACATCCTAACGAAAGTCTCCTGAGGTCAGATGATGGAAATATTTTTGTGAAATATTTTCCCGCTAATGTTACCGCACTTATCCAACCAATGGATCAAGGAGTTATCTCAAGTATGAAGAGAATCTACAGATCAAATTTGCTACAAAAGTACATCGATGAAGGCAATGATCTGACGTGTTTCTGGAAGTCCTTTTCAGTATTAGATGCCATATACGAGATTTCAACAGCGTGGGATACAGTAAAGCCATCTGTATTGAAAAATTCATGGAAGAAACTGATGCCTTTCATCACTAATGAAGATGACGAAATCCATGGATTCACTGGATTCAGTGAAAATGAGATAGCCATAAAATTGACAAAAGTGGCTAACCAAGTTCATGGTGGTGAAGAAGTCAACGAGGAAAATATAAGAGAGTGGTTTAACTGTGACTCGTGTGAACCGGGCTTCGAAATGTTAAGCAGTGACGAAATCGTAACTTCAATGGGGGTGCAGCCAGAAGAGCGGGAAGAAAGTGAGAATGAGGAAGAGGTGGACAGTGTTGCCAGTAAGAAAGTATCACATGGTGCTGCGCTTAATCATTTGGAATCCTTACTAGACTATCTTGAGAGTGAAGAGGACAGTTTATTAAGTGACAAGCTAATATTACGTAGGCTTCGTACGGATATCCGTAAAAAGGAAAATGCCGCGAAAAAGCAAAAGACAGTATTAAATTATTTTAAGTGTTAAGTGTGACCGTAAAAAGTGCTGGATGTTGTTGAACAGTGATTGAAATAACTAATTCATACTGAGTGTAATGTAAAGAAAGTATTAAATAGGCCATGAGATGACATAGAAATGAGGATGAATAAATTTAAATACAGGTAGGTCTATAGTATTATGAAGGTATTAAAAGGTAAAAGGTAAAGTTGTTCCTCTGCTCAACGAATTAAGCCCTACGCCATTAAGGCGTGTGGGGGAGTGGATGTATAGATCCAAATTTTCTTGACCTCGGCACTAGTTGGAGGTGAGTGGTCAGCTTCACGCCCCGGCCGCTTTACCCCCGGGGAAAGAGCCCCCGGTACCCATTGGATAGGAGGTTGGATGGACCCCAGAGCCGGTCTGGACGATTTGGAGAAGTTAAAATTCTTGACCCTACCGGGACTCGAACTCCGACCCTTCACAGTCGTCCAGCCCGTATAATAAAATTTGGCTTAACCGGGTTTTCGATTAACCGTGACTTCCATCCCCACCATTAGCCCGGATAATCGAGAGTTGACTGTACACTGTTTTTGAGTTGGCTTTAATCCTGTCTTCTGATTATTTGGCATACTGACAGATACTTTCTATTCTTTTTTCTTAGTTTTAATAGCACTATTCTGATAGTTAACATACATATTTAGTGTTCCGAGGATATTGGATTTGATCCTAATCGCTGTTACTAATATCAGAATTAAAGATAAATCAATATGTATCCATGTAATAGCAGCCAGCCACCTGGAACACCATATGTCAGCCAGTCACAGACTGATGGAGAATCTTCTAATTTTCATGTGACTGGTGATTGTCCTCAAGTTTGGATGTAAGGCATGCAGATGAATACAGTTATTTTCTGCATTTAGTTATGAATTACCAGTGCAGTTGAGTTGATTTGTAAGTCCATTTGTACATTTATTTTCTGATTTCTAAAAGTAATGTCTGTAATGTACTTTATGGTACTTAAATTTTTACATTAGATTGCGTGAAGTATTTCAGTTGCTCATAATTCTTGTGTGTATTTAGATGACTGGAGTCATTTTCTACATATAAAAATATTGTGTGAATTATAATCATTTTCATTTACACTTATCCTATGTTTGTAAGTCTCTTAAAATCTTTTATGTCACTTTCTAAATCTTCAGCAGTTTTACATAGCTGATTGTTTAAGGGTCATTAATTCTGTTTTGAGAATACAGTACAGTGCATTTTGAATTGCGTATCTGGATTATTTTGTGCATTCCTAATTTTCCTACAGTTTGAGGTCATGTCCAAATGAGAGAAAGAGATAATTTTTGTTTGTCAGGGTGTCTGTGGAATCACGTCGCCACTCGCTGGACTCTCAGGTGTCTGTGCAGATTGCGGAAATGACAGCCACACGAAAGGCTGCAGCTACTCCTATGCCTAGAGCATCCGCTGCAGTTTCTGGTGGTAGAGGCAGAAAAGCTCGTAACAGGAGGCAAAGAAGAGAGTTTGGACGCAGCCGAAACAGCCGTGTAGGTCCACTCTTTGTTCGCAAAGGTAGCACAACATCACAGGAAAGTCAGCTAGGAACCCAGGTGAGACATATATCACTGAGAATGCTGAGACATGTGTTTCACATATCCATTTCATATTTGAGTATCACACACTGGGATAATTATGACTAGGTTTCTTTGTTTTGTAGTTTACTTATTCTTTCTGAGTGATCATCATCACTTAAGACCACTCACATGTCAATCATCTGAGCCTGAGTTATCCAATAATCCCTTTTAAAGGTCACGCTTAGCTCCTTGTTCCATTTGGTTTGTTGTTTGTAATTATTTTGGTAGTAGGTCTGTCTATATCTGAACCCTATTGATCCTAGCAAAGCTATTTGCTTTTGTGGTTTGAAGCTTTCGTTAATATTAATTCAGTCCTTAGATCTTTGACAATCTTCATTCCTTTCATGGTTTTTCCATGCATGTTGTTCAGTCTGGATTTATATTTGGCTTTTCTCATGCATGTTTCATTACCATACAGAGTGTTCAAAGAACCATTGTACATATTATAGATTCTTATTTTATGTCTTTCTGAGCTGCTTTGGTGTAAGTATTCCAGTGATTTCCATATAATACCTTCAGATATATATTTTTCTGTCCAATTTGTACCATTTCACCTTAAGTAAATATTCTTTGAGTGAATATATCTTTCCTAAATTTGTCTTCAGAACTTGTCTGAATTATCTAGTGACAAAGTTTCAGAGAAGTAGAGTTGTTCTTGGCTGGTCAGTGCTCCATGTAGTGTAATAGACCTGCCTCTATTGAGTTTTCACAAGAAGCATAGCAAAAGGTTTTGTGTCTTTAAGAGGAAAATACTGACTGTCCTGTAGAAAGATATGTGTATATAAGTGTCACAACTGCATGCACTACACCAATAAATGCATTTTATTAACACTCATATCTTCATCGAGGGATGAAGCAAGCTGCATATCTAGGAACTTTCCTTGCATACGCAACAACATATTTAATACAAGTATTTGCAACTGCAGTTAGTTTGTGATTTAGGAGCTGATAAAGTTTTCATACTGAAGTCAGAATATTCTGTTGTTATGGCTATGATAATAGTAAAATTAATTTGTTGTGTATTTTTACATCACTCTTTCAATTTTGCTACCACTGTCTTCACTCTTGATTTAAGATTTTATGATCTTTCCCCTCTGCTTGCTTTAAATGTAAAAAATCAAGAAGAAAGAAAGGCTTGAAATTGTGGAACTAATATTATATAAAGAAATGTATAAAACCTGCCTAGTGTTGCAGTAAACCATCTTTAGATGTAAATATACACGATTAAGGTATGGAGGAACGTTTGTAAGAATAATGACCCTGAAAGATGGTGGCCCTTTATATTCAATTTGAAGTGTGTACACATACTTATAATTGTGAAAATTTGTTATATTAATGATATATTCTTGTTTATTTCCTGTCACCACCATGATGGGCCCTTATCCTCATGAGGCCTGCTCCCCCCACCAAACAATTAAATTTCCATGCAAGTTGATGGTTAAAAATATTTTGGCTTAAAGTAGACTTGATTTAAAATGTAACAGATGTGAACTGGTGAAAACTATAAAAATTTTAGAAGCCCCAGGACAATTCATTTAAGCAGTATCCTGTGTATGCATGTTCATATGTGTATATTCATATATTTATCCATGTGCATGATGCATATACTTCATTATTCATTTTGTGGTATTACAGATTCTATCAGCTTTGACATTAGCCAACACGAATATCCCCTCATTTGTTCCTAATTTAAGGAAGAGGAGAGCTGGAAATGCAGGTCTGGACAGTTCAAAAGTCAATCCATTTGCTCTGCCAGGCCGAAGTCTTGATTTGAGTGATGAAGAGCAAAATCGTGATGAGAAGGTGCCTGGTCCAGCTAAGAAATTTGATATCATCCTGTGTGGAGAGGCTAATGAGGTTGGGTTAGAAGATGTCAACCAAAGTGAAGGAGAGGGCAGTGGTGGATCAGGGGCAGAAAATGAGGAGAGAGTGGGAATGTCAAATGACTTGCATCAGGATGGAATTGACAGTAGGAGGGATGATGTAAGTACCAAAGGAAAGAAAATGAGCATTGAAAAGAATGACAGTGTAGAAATGTGCCACATTAAAGGTGTCAGCATTAAGGATAATAGGAATGCTGGTGAATGTTATTGGAAGCCAAACAGTGAATTGAACTGTCATCAAATCAAGAATGGAGACAACTATGCACATCAGATTAGAACCAGTGAGACAAACAGATGCAGAAATGACTGTGGAGATTTAAGGAACAGGAACATACCCGATGAAGTAAAATTGTACCTTACTGAAGAATCTGATGATGAACCACTACAAAAACTAAACTTCATGCCATCTGTAGATGTTGCAGGTGTTTCAGACGGTTCAACTTCATTTTGCCCAGAGTTATCTCGACTAGCTGTATTATCCTCCCATTCTGGCATATCAGTTGGCAGTCCACACAACTTTTTAACTGGTAAAATTCGTATGATAAAAGTTGCACCATGCAACCAGAGCACCAATGGTGACAAGTTAGGAAGTGCATGTGAAGTTGGGACTCAGACTTCGCTGTCTATAGATTGTATTGAAATGCAGGAAACAAATGCAGCACACTCTTCCCCACTACGAACACACACAAGCCAAAGTACCCAAGTATCTCCACTTCCATCTCGATCTTCAGTTCCTCCTCCAAAGCCACAAAGACTTATTCAAAAAAGTCAGTCTCCACTTATCAGTAAAGTAACTGGTGATGTATCATCAGGTTCGAGAAGTACTGAGAAAAGTCAGTCTCCACATATCAATAAGATGACTGGTAATGTATCATCAGGTTCAAGAAGCAGGGGGCTCAATTACAGTTACAATGCACAACAGCTGATGAAAGAACTTGCTGTGAGCAATCTAGTGGCAGCTCCGGTCAGACCAGAGAGAAGGAAGAGTACTCAAGGCAAGGATATCACAAGAAGCAAAAGTGCAGATGACAAGAACATTGAACTTCAGTGCAAACCTATTCTGTTGTGATAATGTTTATATTAACATATATCCATGGGCAGCTACAAACTACATGCAGAGGTAGTATTCAAACAAGTATGTACCTCAGTTTAAATGAAGATTATTATTACTTTCAGATGGCATACTTGTAACGCATATCAGTATGTGTTAACATAACACATGTTATTCACATACCATGTATTAAAGCCATGACATACCTCTAGTGATTAGTCATCAGTTTCTTATAAAAACCCTGTATTCACTCCCAGAACAATCTCTGTGGTATTTGTAATGGAATTGGGGCAGAATTTTGCCCTGTGTAGTTTGGTTTTCCCCTCCAAATCATCATTCCACCTATACTCCATGCACATTACCATTGCTGTCATCATCAGGGGCCGGTACAATCCACCCACTTGAGGCTGAAGCATGAAGGGATTCAGTCTTATGCCATTCCTTTCATCATTACTATGTAATTACACATAAACTGTTGAGCCCTGGAGTTCTTTGCATCATTACTTAATTTACATACTATTAAACTTGGTGTAAATTACAAGTACCACATATCTTACATTCAGTTTGAATGAATTAGGCTTGGCCACACAAAAATATCTAATTTTATTATGACAGATCTTCCTCTGGGTAACAAAAGCTTGCTGCTTTTACAAGTACTTCCATTCCCTGACATCCTGTTCTAAATACTCATTTCTATAATCACAAAAATCTATCGTATAAATTAGATTTGCTCCATCTAGGACAATACCTCTGAACTTGAAGAATTAAATACCATTTTAATGTGCCATTCAGATAGAGGCCATAAAGTAAATATTTCATGTCCTTGATTCTTGGGGGGGGGATAATACTGCATCCAATGAGATTGAGGTAATAAAATTGGACTGCCACATTGCTCATAATTGTGGTATTTGGACAGTTGTAGATTTTTAAAAAACTTGATTTATATCAGAATTTTTAGTACTGTCATGGGTTAGTGACTAGACACCTGGTTCGGATTGGTAATTTGGTTCATTGGATACTTACTACTTTGAACTACAGATAATTCCAACACTTTCATTATTTTTCATAATCTGCAAATTACCATAGCAGAGTGCTGTGTCTTCACATACTCATTTCTTGGTTACTGACTCCAGTAACAAGGACCCTTCCTAATGTTTATGTGCTTGATGGCTCTGGCATTGGTTCTCACTGGCTCTCTTTATGTAGCTTTGTTACAGACAGATTAGAAAACACTACCTCCAACAGTTCCTTCACTGTCATATATATTCACTGCCACAGCACTCTGATGAACATATGCTTTCCATCATGCTTTTCAAATAAAATTTATATAATATGCATTTATATCTGAGTGAATTATCAGAACTAATAAGATTGATATATTGCAGTACAAAATTAGATCTGGTTTCCTGAGGGAGGAAATTTTGTATCTCTCTTAACTAGTATTGTAAGGTAATTAAATTTCTCAGCATCTTTTTGTAGACCATGAATTTATATTGTTTCATTATTTATACATAATGTCTAAGCTGACTATTATTTTAAGAATACAAAGTGTGTGCATTTATATGTGTATTTTATATAACATGTAGCTTATACGTTGTTTTTATATGTTGATATATCTTCCACAAGAAGCTGGGGGACAATAAAATTTTAAAATGTACCAAGGAAAGAAGTTTCTTTTAAATGCCTTGTCCCCATCTGTAAGTGACATGATTTCCCTTAACTTGTGCTCAGATGGGAAACGCTATTATCATTTTCGTCTTCTCGTTCAAAGTCTGTAGTGTTGGTTCTGTTTTATTCCAGTTAAGAAAAGTTCATACAGCTGTCCAGTTTTGTACCAAACATTAGAACATTCTTACTGAACAAGTTCCGCAGAAGATAGAATGAGATGCTAACATTCATGATCTTGAAATTACATATATGGAAAGAAAATGTAGCTTATATGATAATCCTTAATTCCAGAGGTCCCTTAGTTTGGATGGACTGAATATTTAAGACCACAGTAACTCTTTCCTTATAATAAATGAACATTAAATCTGCATGCAACCATACTTACAGAAATTGGCAAGATATCAAAACTGTGCACTGAATGAGCAAGCAGTCACTGCTAAAGCCTCACTGCCCATTGTTATTACACACTAGAAGAAAATGTTATATGTTTAACTTGTTTAATATGTGTTTCAGAGTCATTTTATAATAACAGCATTACATCAGATGTATTGAACAGATCTGATTTCAGCCCAGTATAAACTCAGTCAAGAATATGTGTTGTGTTTTGTTCATTTTCCTTAATCGTGATTTTGCTGAAACAATTGAAACACACAGACTGATCTATTATGATTAAGAACAAAGTATGAATACTGTGGTAGCAGTTTTATTTTAGTGGTTATACAGGGTGTTTCAGGACTTTAGGGCATAACTGCAGGAGGTGATTTCCTAGGTCCTTGTGATCAAAAAAAGTTCATATAAACATGTGTCCGATTTTGGACAGTTACAGAGTTATGACCGCTTTTTCATTCCCGTATGTGCCCTCGTGTGAACAACGTCTACCATCTGGCAGGTCGCTATTTTTAGATTTTTAGCCAGCTACAGACAGAGCGTTCTCGTTATCTTGACACTTGAGAGGTACCTAAGGCGTGATGGGTATGTCTGGCCATGGCTAGTGTGGCGGCTACTGGTGTTCAGAACAGTTCTCATCTTGGTGCGTCTGTTACGTTCATGATGCCATTTACATTTTCATTTGAGGAGTATGCAGATATGATTTATGTGTACAGGTTTTGTGACGGTAACTCAGTTCTTGCCATAGCTGAATATCAGCAACGGTTTCCGAATCGGAGAGTGTTTACTGGAGTTTACCAGGCATTGCGAGATATCGGTAATTGTTCGTATTGCAGCCGAGCGTGGTGTTAATGAAGGCGTCAGTGAAGAAGGCATTGTTCATATGGTACACCACAGTCCACATACGAGTATGTGAAGAATTGCCAGCCAGGTCTCCAGACTTAAGCCCACTGGATTATTGTGTGTGGGGATGGATGAAAGAACTGGTTTACAGTGTGAAGGTGGCAACGTGAGATGCTTTGCTTGCTTGCATTCTGGACGCCGCTGACCACATAAGAAACAGCCAGCTGAAGCTGCTACGTGCTACCCATGCGGTTCACAACCAAGCGGCAGCCTGTGTTACAGCTGGCGGTGGCATTTTCGAAAATCAGCTTTAAGCACCAATCAATTCAAATTAAAGGTAATTTCACGAAGTTAACTTTACAGTAATACTTTAAATGTATCATGTATTGTGCTGGTTTATTATTTTGTTTCGTTTATGTTCAGTAATCGTTACCTTTTATTCTGAGTTTAAAATGGTCATAACTCCGTAACCGTCCAAAATCGGACACATGTTTATATGAACTTTTTCGATCACAAAGACCTAGGAAATCACCTCCTGCAGTTATGCCCTAAAGTCGTGAAACATCCTGTATATTTACATACTTGTAGACCTGTACATTCAGATGGGAGGTATCTTCATTTAATTATTATTGAGAATAAGAGACCTTGGTAATTTTCATATGTTCAGAAGACTAGTGTTGAGTGTTGAATATAGAAGTTGGGAAATGTACATGTAGCATATCATTTGTTATTATGAAAATTGCAAAATTTGTGGAAAAAGTGTATTGGACATAAAACATCTCTCTGCAAGTTGCTTTGCACCACTTCACTCCAATAAATATTGAGCAAGTTATACTAATGATACCTGCAGAAACATGTGTAGTTCTTATAAAGTGCTATGGTTTTTCTTCAATTTTAACCATTGTTGGAATGTGTTGACAAATTTTATTAAAACTCAATTTCAAATTTCAGAAAAAAATATTCATTTAATGGTTCTTGGCATTGTTTCATGTGCAAAGACAGATGACAGGCAGGGAAAATTTAATAAACTATTTTAACATGTTAATATTTTAGCGAACTTCTGGACTCGTACTCTGAAAAATACGTGTAGAATTATTCGTATCATTAAATTCTGTACTTTTGACCTGACGCAATTAATTTTGGAGAACTGGAATATAGCCTGTTGAAATTAATGGTAAACTGAAAATATTAATACAGGAATCCTATTTGTTATAGGCTGATTCCACAGAAAGACATTCCTTTTTAGAAATAAAAGTCTGCTTGCTCATTTGTGACCTACTACATCACTTATGTTCCTGCAACTCTCAACGGTTAGTTGCTGTGGCAACCTGACATTCAGTAATTTCAGAGTTTTTGTTCACTGGTACAGATTTTTTTATATAGAGTGATATGCAGTGATTCATCTCCTCTGGAAATATCATTTAGGCTATTACAAATATTTATTGATGGACTGTCACTGATAGGCCATGAATACATGCATTACCTCCATAGAAGGTGTAATGGCGCAAAGGTCACGTACTTGTAGATATAGTTTTTTTGGGGTAAAATTGGAATAATAGTAGCTAGACTGTAAGATTAAGAAATTGCCATGATGAAACGAACCAGGAAGCTTAGGTCTACAAAGAATTGTAACAGGGAATGCCTGAGTCATTAGAATGCTAACCCGGCAGTGTAATAGCGCTGACATTGAGGAAGGAGCTATATGAAGTGGGTCATAAACACTATGGCAGGAGGAAAACGCTGAGTCAGAGGAGGCGGTAGACCCGAAAGAGTCAACCCCTTCTCGATGGGCAACCAATGAGGGAGGCCAAAATCACGTCAGAATGGGCAGGCCACCTACCCGGAACTCAAAGAATCAGCAAAGAGAGGTTATATAAACCCTAGAAGACTTAATCAAAAAACCTTTTGCCTTTTGACTTTTGACTTATATTAAGTAACTTAGAGTTCAGGGGAGGCTATCGCCGAGAGAGCGATGGCCGTGAGTGTGCGCTGGTTGCTGATGGCGAGCATCTATTTCCTCATCTCAAGTAAGTGAAACCAACTTCATATAGCCATGAACATTAAGTGTAACAGTGATAATTGTAAAGTGTAAAACCACAGGGAAAGATAGGCTAACTAGATTGACTAGGTTCATTCGAGATACCGAGGCGTAGAATACCCTCCAGTAGGGTGACAGGAGGTAGAACCAATGATGACTGCAGGTTCATTATCCAGTGTAGTACAACCGACGAACGTCGGTAAGAGTGCATATAGATGTATATAGTGACATAGAGAAATAGAATAGGATAGACATGCGTGTGAGTTTACTTTAACCTAGCAATTCCTTAAGTGTTACCCTCTTCCTTGACGACTCCAGGACCTCCCAACGCTCCGGCGAATTACGAGTTAAGCCAGGACAGTGACGCAAGCTATGATAAGTTTACTAGATTTCTTGAAATAACAAGATGGTGGCAGCATACTAAACAGGGTGACACAGCGGGATATTCCCACGCCCTCTGTCATCACGGCATAAGAGAGGTGTAGCGGCGGCTTAAGAGAGGTACAGTGGCGGAAGCGGTGGAGATACCTGCACGCCCCCCTTCACGCCATAACAGAAGGTTTTCTTCCTATGCTGTACTTAAAAGAATGTCTTAATGTCTGAAATATGATGTTTTAAACTTATTTGTGCCATAGACTTGTTATACTTAGAACATCTCAACAAATTTAATTATTTTTGCACACCGATGGAGATTCCAGGGTAAACAAATGACAACACCATTTACATGAAATTCTTTATTGGTTTCTTACACATTTTCATCCCACATTAAGTAAACAAACTCCTAAGTACACTATGAAGTACAAAATATACATTACATTGCAATTGCAAATAGAAATCCAAAGATTGCTTTTTTCATTTTTCATCATAAGTTTCTTGTTGCTAATGCACTGCACACTCAAATCTACCAGAAAAGGCCACACAATAGTTTTCAGTGATGCAATACTCAGCTGAACTGGCACTACATTATGAAATGGTTTATAGGCAACTAAATCTGTAATTAGGAAGTGCTTAAACATTATGAATACAAACTCAAACATGAATAGCACCAATATAAAAAATGTATAAAATAGGCCTCCTGAAACTACAACATTGAAATGCATTGTTCAAACTCAATAACACTGTGATGAAAATTGGATGAATGCATGCTCTAGGACTGGTATGGTATAAACAAGTTATTCTTGAATATAAATATCAGTTTCAAAATATTTAAAGGATTTCAAAGCAAATCCAGCAAGCTATTTACTTATAAAATCTCACAGCTTCTGCTGTAAGACAATAACAATCTTCCAAAACTCTTTCTTTGCAGAAATTGTATTTACAGTCTCCGCCTTTCTTGTATAAAGGATTATGCTGATAAGACTGTTCTTTAAGGATAATTTATGCTGTTACATTTCTATAAAGACTATGGAGATGACTAATTAGGAAGGATATTAGTATTGGTCAGTGCTATCCCCTCATTCACCTTAAGAGCCTAAGCAAACTCTAGTCAGGGTAGCCATCTTAGGATTTAACACACATTAAATGCAACATGCATATTTCTATGTTAGGCAAGGGTTTACAAAAACCCATTTGTGCAGTCACCTTAGAAATTAAATCAGAATATCACAGGAAAACATGCTATGCATTTATCTGTAACAGCATAAGCTGTGAGTAAAAAAACTTCTTCAGCTCAAATAAAATTCAATTTATGGCAGTCATGAAGACCTAACATGATTTCAGTCTGTTCTGAAATAAAAAAAAAGAAAGCTAATGATGTTGAAATAGTGACTTATCAACAAATGCAGATTTAGTGATCTATATTGACAGAACTACAAATTCTGTACAAATATTCTGATTGTCTTTATTACATACTTTTCTTTAGGACATTTCATATTTTAATAACAAATCAGAACCTGTACCAGTGCCTGTTGACCAAATGTAATATGAGAATGATTTGGAAAATTAAGTCAAAGACCATATTAACATATCATTATAGAATATTCTGTTACATGTAATATTTGAGGTTTTCATGGCGGTGACTGAAGAAAGCAGTCTTCTGGGATGTGGTGCCATGTAGATATTGTGTTAACCGCCGTTTCAGAGGAATGTATCGCCTCCCTCTTCAAGATAGAAGAAAAAAGAAGAAAATCCACAAGCGAAGAACCAGCGTGAGGAGGTGCAAATTGACTAATGTCAAGAATAAACCAGATGTATAAGAGCAGGAAGGGAAGGGAGAGGGGCTACATGGGAAATCAGCAGAGAGGAGAGGGGAAGGGTCTGGGGAGGTGGGCCAGCAGGTAGCAGGCTAGAGCAGGTATAGAATATTGTGTCGGGGGAGAAAGGCAAGGTTAATTGGAAGGCTTGGGGGTTGCTATGTGAGTTGGGCATGGACTTGCATGGCCTTGAGGGTCTGGCATCTTGTCCCAGAGGTTTCTCTTCTACCCTGAAGATGGAGGCGATACATTCCTCCAAAACATTGGTTAACACAATATATACATGGCGCCACATCCCAGAAGACTGCTTTCTTCATTCTGTTACATGTTTCTTTCATATCTGTTCTCCTTAGCACGGTTACATACTGATCAGCATCAAGAACTGCACAAATAAACAGTAAGCTGCCTACTGGAGTTACTTAAATATTTCAGCTGGCATGTTATTAATTCAAAATTAAATTGAGAATTCAGTTACATTAGGCAACATAACTAGGGCATCTGATGTTCAGGTTTTATATTCTGTAAATTTGTGGGTGGAATTCTGATATAATCTTAAAATCTATAACTTAAGGTAGAAACTGGGTTTTAGTGATGTAAGATAACATAACTGTATCACTACATTTCTTCAGAAAGTAGTATTAACACACCAATTCTACAAGTACTTCCACTTCCTACCCATACTTTAAGAGACCTAGTCAAAATTTTTTGAGGTTCAACACACCTCTTCATCCATTTTTGTTTGTTGCAGTTTATTCTTGTATCTTAGAAATACACACTATCAGTCGTTACTTTTTAAATCTCTTATACATAGCAGAGATTCAATCCTTAATAATTCTGTATCAACAGAGCCTATGGAATGCTTTCTTCAATATGCAAGATCCTATTTCTGTATGCGACTACATTTTAAGATTGTTCATGCTAAGCTACAACAATTAATTTACATACAATACAACAATCCAGTGATGTTTTTATCACATGCCATGTTGAAGGTCATGGTCACCCATCTTTAAGACTTTAAGTCACATAAGAAATAAGGTACTGCATTATTGCTATCGGAGTTGACAACAGTCAAACGACTACAGTATTTCACTACCATAATCAACGACACAAATAAAAAGTTATGTGAACACATAGTGCCTACAGAGTTTTGATCTTGTACTTCTTTAAAACAAAATATACATATATTTAAGTTTTAATTTGAAGCCCAAGTCTTATTTTACTATAATTACTTTTGATTCATAGTGTAAGTCTTATGTCTGCATTAAATTACACAAAGGTAATATATACTGTATGTGATGACAATGCATACCAGCTCCCACAATAGTTTTAGCTACCATGCTACTAAACCACTCCCCACATATTATACTTCAATATCATGTAAAATAATAAAACTTTAGAACTCCCATGAACTACTGATATATCATTAACGACATTTATATGAATTCTTTATTACTCCTTGATCAACCATTTTGCACTGTCATATATATATATATAATTGCCAACATCTGCCCATCTGTCAGCCTGTCCTGTTATTTCTCCCAAACAGCGAGTGACAAAAGATGTTACTCTTAGAGAGGCAGACCTGGGAAAATTGTTAATTACATGCATGCGTTTAATTTCAATTCAATTACTTTTCCCATTATTTGTTCCATAAGTAGAGCTTTCAGACCGTCACAATAATGAGTATTTAATTATCATCTATTTTGTAGCAATCACAGTAGTGATTATGTACTTTCATTTGTATTTATTTTGAGATAACTTTGCTGAGTACTCACCCATTCAAGAAATTACAGATTACCACAGCTTTACGTATGTGAAATTCCAAAGACAGGCCATTTCAGTGTGTGAATACAATTTTCTTTATATGACCTGCCCACCAGAATCATGTTCTGAAGGTCATAAAAATTATGCATAAACCAAAGAATCTACAGAGATTTTAAATTTAACCACCACAAACAACAAAAGTAGTTTCTGAAATTACAGTGCACATTTTTCTGCATGGGCACGCTAATATAAAATCATTTTTGCAGCCACATGCACTTACTTTTTCTTGGAACTTCTGCCACTCTCCAGTAGCTTTTGTACTTTCCCTGAAAAGAATAAAGCACAGAGTATTTGTACAAAATATACCAAGACTATACACAGTGAATATGTAGTTCATACTGTTCCCATGTGTGCACAGGTGGAGAACACTGTCATATAAATTTAGTATAGGAGTTACAGTAAATATTGACAGATCACCTTCATATAATGGCCCTTTCACAAACATCTTGGAAATTCTGAATTATGATTATCATGAAAAGACTGAAACTATGTCTGGCTACGGGCTGGACGACTGAGGGGTTGGAGTCCCTGTAGGAGCAACTTTTTTCTCCTCTCCACATCATCCAGACCAGCTCTGGGGCCCACCCAGCCTCCTATCCAACGGGTATTCGTATTCGTATTATAAGAGGGGGTGGGTTTCCCCATGCACTTAGACCAGTTATTGGTCCATTGTGCGTCCCCTTTAATTTCTACACTGTCGCCATACCCCATCCACCAGAGGCATTGGAGACTACTTGGGCGGGAAAGGGCCTGTAATTCAGCTCAGAGGTCTCCTAGAGACATGAGGTTCTTTTACATGCCGTAAATCTACGACACAGGACACACGGCTTAAAGTCCCTCCCGGAGGACTTGTTCCCTGAATTTTTCCGCCCTTAAAAATTCCACGACCTCCGCCGGGTTTGAACCCGCGTACCTTGAGTCATGAGGTGGAAATGTTACCCCTAGGCTACGGAGGCTGCTTATCCAATGGGTACTGTGGGCTCTTTCCCCAGGGTTAAATTGGTGGGGGCGTGAAGCTGACCACATACCTCCAGCTAGTCCAGCTAGTGCCGAGGTAAAAAAAAAATGTAGATCTATACATCCACTCCCCCATACATCATCATGGTGTAGTGCTTAATTAGTTAAGCACAGGGACAACTTTCACTTTACTTCATGTGAAAATTTTGATAATATAAAAGTTCTGTTGCAAATTTAAGGAACCTTACGATAATCAGCTATCAAAGGAACAGCTATGTCAAGCTACAGGTTTTAATTATAATTTCCTGAATTTTAATTTATATTTTGTCAACGAGAATCAAAGTTGATCAGCTTTATTACACTACAGAAACTCCATTTGATTGATGTCATGTTGAACGTTTAGAATCTACTATTAGAGACCTACATTATATTATTTGCTTCAACCTTTCTCTTTTCCAAAGAATATGTAACTAATTCATTTTAGCATAAATATTACATGACAATGATAATTTATGAGATAAACTGGTGAAACAAAAGAGGAACTGAAAAAAAAAAAGATACTTGTGCAAAACTGAACAATGCTGAAAATGGCATACATTCTTTGAAAACATGAGATGTAAGGATCTCTCAGGACTCTGAAGTGATACTGTGCAGTCTGACAGACATTTACCAGTATTTCTCTGGAATCTACAGCCCCCATCTTCAAATGCCTACCAGACTACACAGTGTAACATTCCGTAACATAGTAAATTTCTTTAAAAACATGTTTGTTATGTCTAGAAACATGATGTATAAAGTATGTTAGTTTTGATGAATGAAAGGAAAAAATGCATTATCCTTTCCATGCTAATGGCATGATTATAGTTGTTATTATTAGAATTCTGGATTTTTATGCCACAAGATCTGACTGCTCTATCCACTGGTATGTTTGTGTTACCTAACTGGAAAATATCATAAACAAATTTTATCTTTGAAGAAAGTCGTCTTCTGGGTTTAGGCACCATGTATTCTTCGTTTTGGCCGACGTTTCGGAGGAACGTAGCGCCTCCATCTTCAGAGCAGTTGAATGGCTTGGAATGCTCTGCTCTGCTACTGCTCTCCGCATTCCAAGCCATTCAACTGCTCTGAAGATGGAGGCGCTACGTTCCTCCGAAACGTCGGCCAAAACGAAGAATACACGGTGCCTAAACCCAGAAGACGACTTTCTTCATTGTCATCGCCGTGAAAACCTCAAAACTTACATAGTATTCCTCTATGGGGAGGCTATCCATCGACGAAGATGGAGGCGCTACGTTCCTCCGAAACGTCGGCCAAAACGAAGAATACACGGTGCCTAAACCCAGAAGACGACTTTCTTCATTGTCATCGCCGTGAAAACCTCAAAACTAACAAATTTTATCTTTGTTCAGACTTCAAATTACACATTTATTATTAATTTACTAGTAAATCAGTTGGTATATCTCAAGACAAAAAATGTATAATTAATTAATTAATAATACATGATGAATCAATTAAAAATTATAATTGGTCAAGAAACTAAAAAGTGCGTTTATGTTGCCAGTAATGAATGTCAAATAATCATCAGTATAGGTCTTACCCCATTTTGCTTTATTGAGAGTTTCTCCAACGATGTACAGGCCCGCTTGCAAGCCTAGACATATTAAGAAGAAAATGATTCGTTGCCACCAGTTGAGAATCTCAAGCACTGGATACACCCAAGCACCAGACTTTGCAAAAATCACATGAACCCTGAAACAAGCCATATGTTCATATTACAAAACCTAAAAATAAATACCCAAATATAATATAAAATAATTTTCACATACAATCTGATATGACACACACATAAGAGAAAGAGATATTATTACAGTTAGTACAAACTGCTGTTACAATGTAAGGATTCAGAAATATTTTCTGCAACATTATTTCATGCTTACAAACATGAAATTATAGCAAGACTTTCAACACCTGTCCTTACTATAGGGCATATAAATGACAATATATCAGGTCAGTAAGTCCATTATTCCTAAGGGACTATAAAGAAATAGGTTAATTCAGGTAATTTTTCTAACCTAATAATTTTTACAAGCATATTTTGCATTATATGGTGTAGAATCACAATTCCCCTGCCATTTTTCTGCCTATTTCTCCTATTTTGAAAAAATACAAGAAGGCTTATGAGATCATCTTGCTGCCTGTGTCTGTAAATCTCCCCCTACTGTTGCTAGGCAACAGCTCGGTAAATGCATTCCTGCAGCAACAAATATGCATGCAACAATAGAAGAATTGTTGGACGTGTTGTATTACATCTGTTCTGCATCATATGAAAGGAAATCAGGTGATCAGCTCTTCCTAGAAGTTCATGTTATCTAATCTGATTTTATGTAGACCCCACTAACACTTAACATGCCACTAGGTCAGAGCTTTTATCATGGTTACTACACCTAAAACAAAAAATCCTAAACAAGCAAGGAGCACTGCACAGCTGTATGATAACTGACCTACCCTGGGTTGGAGGTTGCTGACCACCACATATTTCCTGCTGTAACTAAACTTACCAGATAAAGTAAATGGCTGTGAACACGAACAGTCCAGTGAACCCCTCCGACCGTTTTGGATACACACGGAAAGATATAATCATCTCAAGTAATGTGAAGATCACGATATTAGTGTGCATTACATGATTTAGCCATGATGGAAAAAAATCATCCAATGCTTTTGGGAACACAAGCTCTCGGTCAATTGCCATCAGAGCCCAGAATGTTACACCCACAAACTGAAATGAAAGACCAGTTAAAACTCTAATTTTCATGAGCTAAGTGATTATGCCTAATCATAACAGTAATTTAATTCGCTCACCATTGCCACAGGAAATGCAACAGTTGCATACATGTAGTCCTTAATCTTGCGAATGAGGGGCTTCTGCCTAATACTTATCTCATTGCTTCCAACAGTATCATTCAGAAGACAAATGGTGAAGTACACTGACTGCAGTATCTGTAAAGTAAGTCAGCATTAAATGTTATACATCCCTACGAATTAGGTAATCATAACCATGTCGGTGGCTTCTGTATTCTTCACTGTCCGTTTCACTAGTTTATATTGCATGGCATGTAATAAATAAATACCAAATAATATAGTAAAAATTTAGGCAGTTGGGAATGGCACCATCGCCTTTGTAGCCGTGTTGCTTCTTACAAGCATAATTTTCATTCGAATGTGCAAGAATTTAAAAGAAACTAACCGCATCCCAAAATGTTAGGAATTTCAACTTCCCACCATATCCAGATCCCATCCGACTAACTGAAATTGGAATAACTACGTAATTCCAATCATAATAAACGCTATACGAAAATTGAAGACAGCCGAGAAGATGAATTAAAGCACGTATGACTTTGTAAAGGCCTGCATTACTCTGGCTTTCTTTCTCCCCGTGTTTGCTCGACATCTTGAAAGCGCAAGGCCACCAACTACTGCAGGCTGCGTTTGTCATACTATGGTTGGTATTACAAGAAGTTTCCGGGAAGAAAAAGAAAAAGGTTACTGTATTATCTACCAACTATTTTCAAAACATCAACTTTCTCATCAGCTTACAGCACACAGCCAGCTCTGCTGCTGTGCGACCTATAGCTGTCTACTAGCGGCGAATCGACGTACGAACATCATTGCCAACATTAAGCATGAGAAGAATTTATTATAAATGTATTAGATAACACCATGCACACAAACAAGAGTATATACTGTTTAAAAATAATTATATTTTTACATGCTTACGAACTCCATAACCATTTAACATGTTTTCTTATATAAATTGACTTTCAATATTACAAATTAAATTTTACAATTGCTACGTTGGTTGTTCTATAAATTAATATGGCAGCGTTGTGTAAGCAGTTTTATACCGCTCAGTATGAATTCCGCTTCGGATGATTAATATATCTAATGCATAACATTATGAATTGTAATATTGTCAATAAACTCTGCCACTGTCAAGTTTACGGGCTTGTACTTATATGCTGGAAAGACATGATGGTTCATCTACACTTCACTTGGTTAACCTCAGAAAAATGCTGTATTGTATAAATCACAACCCGCGCTGCTCACTTATGGTTGCAGTGCAGTGGCTCGTTTGTTTCGAGGTATTGTTATAGAATAGTTTTTTACTACAGTTACAATATTCACCCTTACATATATCTTAATGTAAACGTATTTAAAGAACATTAGTGTGCATGATATAATAATTTCTTACCATATTCCAAAATGTAAGATATTTAAATCTGCTTATTGCGTCGAAAAACCCACCTCTGAGAAAGGCAGGTGGAAATTTTACGTATGATAAATCATAATATATTCCGTAATAAAAATGGACGATAGCGATTAGAACAAAAACTTGTCTCAACATTGTGCACCGTCTAGCAGTTAGCTGCGAGTGGCAGAACGATCCACGAATCTGTGCATTGGAGATAAAGAGACAACTACGCCGAGCTGTTTTGGTGAGTGGCCCTGCTAAGCAGGGCCACGTCATGGCTACGGCGACTAGCGACATCTTAATTGAATTTATTGAAATTTGAAGAGTGCTGTGTTCTGGGATGTAACGCTGTGTAATTCCATAGACGTTAGTACTCGTATTTCCTCTGTCTTCAGCGGTCTTCAGGATCGTTCAGGATCTAGGAGTAAGCTATCGGAGAAAAAGGTCCCATATGGCGTAACGTTCCAGAAAATAGTGCCCTTCATAGCCACCACTGTAAGATCCTCAAATCCAGCAAATTTGAAGTTATTTATGTTCCACAGATCCTTCATAATACAAAGCCAGTGATTTAGAATGTAAACGTATTATATGAACATAATGCTGAATAACAAGATCAATAAGAATACATAGATGTTTCAGCTATTTGCACACATCTGTTTTTCTTTATTGCTAGTGGGGTGGGACTAAGTCCCTTGAACTGCGACCACTTTTGGCCTATTGTACCAGCCCCAGATGATAGGTGAGGGTGATTGTGGAGCAATTGGTGGAGTGAAGATTGGCAGGGGAAACCGAAGTACTCGGAGAAAACCTGCCCCAGCGCCACTTTGTCTACCACAAATCCCACTTGACCAGACCCGGGATCGAACCCGGGCTGCCGCGGTGGGAAGCTAGCGACTAACCGCTTGAGCTATGGCGCGGCCTGTAACATCTGGTAAGCATATATTATACAGAGAAAAATTATTTTGTGAAGTATTTTCTTCATACATTGTTACACTATTTAAGAATTTGCAACTGATGTAAATTTCAAGTCCCAATGAGGTCACTGGATTTTTTCAATTCCTTCCAGCCGCACTAGGCCCTGGGGTTTGCCCAGCCTCTAACAGAAATGAGTACCAGGAATTAATTAAATAATTTTCCTGGGGAGTAAAGCACGGCCGGCGCGTAAGGCTGACAACCTTACCGCCATCTTTGAGCCGATTGTCTAGATAATGTGGGACCCTCAACGTCTCACAACCCTTTGGGCCTGCACGGCCTGTTACAGGAATAGCTTTACTTTTTTACTTTACAACTGGTGTAAATTGTTGTGTAGATGAAGAATTAGATTTAGACTTAGAATTTATTTATAATCCATAGATAAGTTATGAGATTAAGTCAGGAATGTAGGCCATGTCATATACATTTAATACAATTATAAATATAAATACGTAGTTCGTTCTTACGGTTACTTACAGTCTTTTTAGATTATAAGGTTATTATGTAACTATGACAAAAAGTCATTATACAAGTTTGCAGTATTGAAACATTTTCAATTGAAGTAAACTCTTCCACAGAACAGAGGGAGTGAGATAAGAGATAATCTTTCAGTGCTGGGAATGAGAGGTTACATGAAATTAATAACGGCAATGGTGTTAAGAGTAGCAATTTTTGCCACGTCAGAAAATCTATTTGCCAAGAATAAAATCTTGCCACTTCGATTAGTGCAGTCAGTATGGCGACTAGCTACGACCGAGGGGTCGGAGTTCGAGTCCCGGTAGGGTCAAGAATTTTCTCTTCTCCGCAGCGTCCAGACCGGATCTGGGGCCCACCCAGCCTCCTATCCAATGGGTACCGGGGACTCTTTCCCCGGGAGTAAAGCGGTCGGAGCGTAAAGCTGACCACTCACCTCCAACTAATGCCGAGATCAATGAAACGTGGATTTATAAATTCACTCCCCCCATACGCCTTCATGGCGTAGTGCTTAATTAGTTAAGCACAGTACTTTACATTTTACCTTCTTAATGCCAGATAATACAAAAGAGCTGGCTATGACATTGATCAATATGCGGTGGTTGCAAAACTGAAGGAGACCCTGACAATAAGTCAACGAACAACACAGATATCCGATATGGAAAAATGAAGTCTCAAGCTGCTAAGATAGATGAAAGTTAAAGAACAGTAACAAGTTGAAATTTCAAACAGAGTTTACAGCTTTGGAGAACTTAAATGATGGTGTGTACCTGAATAGGGCTTGGAGAAATATCAAAATACTAGCAAGAGAGAGTCTAGGTCATTACAAAATGAAGCAGGAATTGCCTCAGAAGAGCGTTGCCCTGATGTGACGCCTTACGCTTTTCAGTTCGTATTGTACTGTGTTCCTTCATCCGTTGCTTGAAGGCCGTGTGTTCTCGTATATTCATTGAGTGCCTTACAGTATTAAATCAAATGAAAGTAACCCTGTGCTGCAAAGCAGTAAACATGTCTGATGTCTTTCTTTTAACACCGCATTGAAATCATATTTCTAGTGACACTGAAGGGAACGGACACCGAAAATTACAAACTGTAAGAAAATTAAATGAAGTAGAGGGCAAAGAGCAGTATTGTGTTGAAACCTCAAATAGGTTCGCGGCTTTGGAAAACTTGGACTCTGAGGTGGATGTTAATAAAATTTGGGAAACTATTAGAGAGAATATCAAAATTTCTGTCAAGGAGAGTCTATGTTATTATAAACTGAAGAAACATAAACCATGTTTCGATGAAGGATGCTCAAAATTATTAGGCCAAAGAAAACAAGCCAAATTGCAATGGTTACAGGATCCAAGCGAGTTCAATGGGGATAATCTGAACAATATAAGATGTGAAACCAGCAGGCATTTCAGGAATAAAAAGAGGGAATATCTGAAAGACAAAATTGATGAGCTTGCAATGAACAGTAAGAACAAGAACATTAGAGACCTTTATACAGGAATAAATTAATTTAAGAGGGGTTACCAGCCTAGCAGTAACTTAGTGAAGGATGAGAATGGTGATCTGCTTGCAGATTCTCACAACATTTTGAATAGGTGGAAGAACTACTTCTCTCAGTTATTGAATGTACATAGGGTCAGTGCTGTTAGGCAGATAAAAATACATACAGCCGAGCTGTTGGTACCTGATCCTAGTTGTTTTGATGTTGAAAGTGTTATTGCAAAATTGAAACGGTATAAATCGCCAGGTAATGATCATATTCCGGAAGAATTTATTCAAACAGTAGGTGAAATATTAGATTCTAAGATCCATAAGCTAATTACGTCTATTTGGTATAAGGAAGAATTGCCTGATCAGTGGAAGGAGTCTATTATTGTACCAGTTCACAAGAAGGGTGATAAAACTGACTGCAGTAATTA